CTTCAGTGAGCTCGTCATGAACCTGGAAAATGCCTACTAAAAGAATCTGATACAGTCAAGGCACAAGGTGCTCCATTATTCCCATAAGCACTAGTTCACTTAGAGGATTTATCCTGCTTATGTGACATACTCAAGGGCAAGGGCTTGATCTGATTTCCCCCTTCAGCTCCCTAGTTCCTGGAGTATGCACGCGAAGGGTCAGATGACCCACTCCAATTAGAGGGAGTGCTGCTAACCCCTCTCTGGCCTAGTCTGGTCTCATAGTCTTAACCCGGGCTTCGAAACCCTGCTGAGAATTTGCATTTCTAACAAGTTCCCAGGAAGTTATACATAAGAATCACCTGGGGATCCTGTCAAAATGTGGATGCCGATGTGTATATCTGGGGTAGAAATGCAAATTCTCATCAGGGAACTTGTCAGAAATGCAAATTCTCAGCAGGGGTTCAAACCTAACAGAACCAGTTCAAAGCCCTGGTCTTAACACACCCTGGTCATAAAACACACCCCAGAATATTATCTTACTTGGGATAAGAAAATCAACCAGCAACAACTCATATATCTATTTTGAAGGTCTCATGTTAAAGAAAGTAGAGACTGTCAGAATTTGCTTCTAAAGGCAGCCGTCAAATCACTGGGGAGCAAAGAAACCACCCGGAGTCCCACCTAGAAAGCTCAAATACTGCCCAGCAATGGAAGGTCTGACATGGGCTCCCCCCTCAGTAGAAACGGACGGGCAGAGGCTACCACCGATGCAATGGACGCCATGTCTCGTTAGATTTGTTCTAACTTTTGAGATTTTTATGAACATATTTTTAACTTTTTAAATAATCTATTCCCCACTCCCCCAAAAAAGTTATTCAGCAGGTTAGGCAGAGGCAAAGACAAGACGTGCAGATTTAACTTCTCCGAGAATATTCATCGTCCAGAAACTAAAGTGTCGGCACCTGTGTGACTTAACAAGGCAGTTTCCTTCCGAGAGGAGCCTGACCAAGAAAACAGTCTGGTGGTCAGGAAGGCTAAAAGAGAAACGCTGTAACTAGGGCAGTTTAGAAACTGCAGGCGCAACCTGCACCTTTAGAGTCAGGATTAAGGACAGCCAAACATCCTCATGGTCCAAGGCCACACAAAACAGATGAACAAACGGCTACACTGCCCATAGCCGAAGCTCACGGACAGGGAAAGGTGAAAATGCACACAGCGACAGTCACCACGACGAAGACCTCCAACATCCCACAGCCGCTCGGCCGATGCTTAGTCTCAAGCCTGTCCAACTTGACTCCCTAAAGATTCTCAGGAAGCCTCTGTCTAGAAACTTAGGCTTTCTATAAAAACTGTAGTACTATTTTTTAAATAAAACCTGATTTTACTAAGCCAAATTAGGGTGAACTGTGAGCACTCTTCAGAATCATTCATAATTATTTTACAGTTGGGAAGTGTGCACGCACCCTCTTTGTAAGGATATCTGTTCTGAGCTCGTCGTGGCTTTAAGGACAGAGACGGGCGTGGAGCAGGCCTACAGTCAAGCGCTCCAGCAGCCGAGCAGAGCAGCACAGCTCCTCCTAAGTGTCTTGGCACCGTGTCCAGGCACGGTCGGCTCTCTGCTGGGGGCGGCTTTCTTGGCTGTGAAGGCAGAGCATGCCCTCTGTCACTCACGGGGAGCAGTTCTGCCCAACTGTCTCTTCTCGACAACTTTACCATCAATCTCTTTATTAACAGCTCCACTGCAGTCAGAAAACGCAAACAAGGACCAAGTCTCATGCCAGATTTCTGGAAATCACAGAGCACCCGGCACCACGCAGTGTGAAAGTTTGTAAGGAGGGTGTCATGCCAAGAGAGAGACAGCATCCACAAGGAACAAGCACAAAGTTGGGACATTCTGCATTATTATATTAAAACGCACATATCTACTTTCTGATGCCCCAACTCTTAGACGAACCCAAATACCCACATACACAGCTATGTGTGTGAGTTGAGGGGCACGGCAAGGGCACACTCCACAGAAAGTCTTATTAGAGCAAAACTAGTTTATACTAAAGAAGTGTTAACTACTTTAGAACTACATGGCACCAGAGAAATCCCACCAGACTGAGATAAATGTCTGCAATGAGCTCTAACAAACCCATAAAAGTGAAATTTTTAAATTACACATTTTCAGCATGAGATTTGTTGGATTAAAAAAAACACCTTAAAAACTAATAAAACAAAATGTTTCTAAAAGGCTTGCAAAGAGACTTAGATATAAAAAATATCAGGTTGTAGTCACATAACTGCGACCAATATGAAACAAAAAACCTCCAGGTCAAGTAAAAACTAAGTGTGCTGTCTGGACAGCTCCAAATCACTGGGATGCACGGTGCTCAGATCAGGTGGTGCTTTTTCATTTAACTGTTTATTACATCACAATCAGCCCAAGACTAAAACCTACTATAGGTCACCATTTACCCTTAATAGTTTTCATTTAGTCTGTTTCATATTTCCATCTATCGATAACTGTTCGGAAATCACACTGGACAAAAGGAACATTATTCTGTGACTACAGGGAAAGCTTTTTTTAATATATATAAAATAACGTTTTAAGGACTCAGGCGCTATTGTTTCCAGACCCTCACTGTTCATTTCAAAATATAAAACAAAACCACCACCCCCTCGGGCTTTCTGTGGTCAATTCCAGGACCAAATGCGGAGAGATGCGGCGGGGGTCGAAGAAATCCATTCTCACCACTAAAACCAAATAAAGAAGAGCAACACACACACATTCTAAGCAGAATGACACAAAGGGAACTATTTTTGATTAGGACATTATTCTGTATCTTAGAAACAGCAAAGCAAGAAATATAATGCTTTGATTAAAACATAAAAGCCCGTTCTGAATGCCCGTCCTGAATGCCCGTCTACTTCCCGTCCCGCCAGCAGAACGTAAAGATACCCAAACCATAAGGAAAGGGACTGCACTGTCTTATTTACCTGACAGTGTGAATATTTTAAAAGTTAACATTTTAAACAGTAGATATTTAAACTCTACAAACTCTAAAAAATACTGTGCCCTTTATAATGTTTAGTGAGCTAAAAGTGTAAAGCATTTTAAAGGTAAGTGGAGGAAAAAACCACAATAATTACAATCACAACCTTCCATACAAACGTGGAGACTTCTGAAATCGTGAACTTAAGCACAGGCTTAATTCCACCCTCTCAAGGAAAGGCTTGTAAACTGGGAGGGAATGAGAAAAGCAATATTTTACTTAAAATTCCATCCCTTTCAACAAAATATACGTGTGGTTTGATCCAGTGCAATGACGCACTGTGACAAAAGCACGTCTCTGAGGAAGAAAAGCAGACGTTGAAATGACTTTCCAAGCACATGAGATCACTTCTAGAATGAAGCACAATCACTTCCGAAATACGTGGTTCAGAAATATTGTTGCCATCTTTCTTATCTGGTGCCAGGAAAGCTGCATCGAATGTCAGAAGAATGTTAAAGCTGATAATTACAAAGGAGGCACACACTGATTCTACAAACATGAGAGACAGATATTACCCAGAACTGAACAGACCACTTGTGTCTATGGGACTGAAGGTCGTGTTTATTACAGAATATGCTCAGTATTTCAGTGAGCAAGGTCTGAGTTAAGACAGCGTCCGCGTGCGATTCTGACTTGGAGAAATGCTAACAGAAGAGGAATAAATACTGTGGAGGAGAATTAAAAAAAAAAGGGGCAACACATACAAATCAGGCTAAAAAGCAACTAATTTTCCCTGTACTATTCATTTTTATTAGGGTTAAATTAGGCAAAAGTATATTTCAAGGACTGTTCAATGCCTTTCTAAGTAAACAGTTTGTCTTTTCGTTTAAATGCATTTTAGTGCACTAACAGTTAAGATTTCCAGGACTCGGTCTACAAGTTTGTGTGCATTAATGATTTATCCTTTCATTATCAACTACTACTTGGAGCTGCTGATCATTTATTGCCACCTTGAGTGCAGCCAGAATTAATACTACACAGAGCTCTAAAACATTTTTTCTGCGTGGAGAAAAAAACAGAGGTGTTAATTAGAAAAATACAAACTTTATTCCAGAATACATGCAGAGCCACAAAACATACAACTTTCAATTACCATTTTACTAATTCAGCAAGACGCAGGAAATGCCAAAGGGCCTTCTGGGGGGTGAGACGCGACAGTGTGATACCCAGCCCGTTAGCTGAGTGTCTTATCAAGGTAGAGAGGGGGCCTCAAGTTCGACTCTCTACAGGCTAGCATGGAGTCCAGAGTCATTTTTACAGTATTTCCCCATTTACGTACGATCCTCCAAAAGTTCAATCTTAGCTGAATGAAAGGCCACACTGTGGTCCTCTATTTTTACATACAGTAAAGGTCTGACAACTGGAAATTTCAGAAGCTGCATGCCTCTTCCAACAGCAGCTTTCACCTCCACTCAAACCCTCAAGAATGTGCCTTCACACACACCTAACAGCAGCTGATTCCTAACTCGTGAGTTAGGTGTGCAATGCTGAGCTTTTGGGGGTTGTACAAGGAGAAAAACAGTATCTGATTAGGGTTTAATATGAAACCCAGGATCCTGGCTGGTTCTGGTCTATAATCCTAATTCACTGAAAAGCAGTTGCCACCTGCTGACATTCCAGAGAAAGCGCAACGGCTTTGTAAACCAGCAGCTGTGAACAGGACTCATCCTGTCGCATGCACGGAACAAACACTTCAGAGGATGGAACAGTTCAAGGTGAATTAACCACATTCATGTTCCCCTTCCTAAAGATCAGTTAAATGAAAATAAATACCTCATTGTTATGTGACCTATGACTATTAGGCTGCTGCTAAGGGCATAAGTTAACCAGAAACAAACCTTTTCTAAATGTAACTGAAGTCAATTCTGTAACAAGTCTTCACTTAGTGCCATACTATAAATGTATAAGAAGAACCAATCAGATCACTGAAAAAACAAGAAATAGTCAATCAAAAAAAATCAGTCAACTGTGGGATTGTGCTTTTTTTTTTTTTTATTGTGTTTTCAATGGAGAAATACATCATCTGTTTACAAAATAGCTCTTGAAAAATACAAGGAGTACAGATACTATAAAACAAAGCAAACTCCAGTCATGAGACACTACGTACATCATGCGAAAGCAACAGTCTGATCTCCAGGTTATGAAAACGAGAATTAAAAAGTCACTACACAGAAAAATTCCAAGTTTCCAGCTTGGCAAAACTTGGGTGCAGTTACATGAAACGTTTAATAAACTGAATTTCTTTTCCCCAATGTGTAAACAAAATGACAAGACTAAATCTGTGCCTGGCAATTTCAATCTAACTCTGAAGCTACACAAAAAACACAGACACCTTGTACACTTCACCTGTCAGTGTGACCATCTCCGTTCTTAGGTGCTGGAAGGGGGACAAGGTGACTGTGCAGAGCAAAGATGTGGAAGGAGAAACATTGTATACGAGACATGGTAAAGTAATGGTGGAAAGCAAGCCTCAATTAATGCAGAGCCTAAGTGGCGGAAGACTACACTCCAACTTTGGGAAATTAATTTAGAAGGACAGGAAAGAGTTTTAAGTCATTGCAGTTTTACATGAAAAACGCACGTGTGATAGAATGGAGCACAGTGCAGGATTCGGAAAATGTGTCATCAGGAGAACTGTTAACGTTTGCTTTGTCCAGATCAGGAAAGAGGTGATCACGCCCGGCATCCTCATACTTCCTACAGAGGGAACTTCTGCTGCTTAATTAGGAGGGGGGATTTTTGGGTTTTTTTTTTTGTTGTTGTTGTTCTGTTTTTTGTCTTTAAAGAAAAGAGCTCCTAATTTTTTGATAGAATAAAACAAAAAGGAGTAGAGAGCTGACTAGATGTCAAGTGCTTGCTAGAAAGGATTTTAAAATTTTTCTACACGTAAAATTTACTGACATTTTGGTAAGCCATTTAAAAATCAGGTTAAAATTCTTGGAGAAAATGCCTTTTTGTCCACATGTCTAAAACTGAAAACCAACTTCCCTACAGACAGGAGTTCTGTGGAGTGTGCAAAATCTCTCCTGTTCGGAAATCAAATGGCCATCCAAGACAGACAGCATGTGTCCCAGGCACTGCTTTTAGTCACCCTCAAGTTTCAGCCATGGGACCAAAATTTAGTGTTCTGTGCCATGTGGCCACAGGGTCAGTGTCCTCATATCATGGCTTAAGAAAATACTGGCATTTTGTTTTTTTATGAATAAGTCCTACCTTGTGCATACATGCCAAAAAAAGGGGGGGGGGCTTTTTTTGTTTAAAAGACAATGGATTAAAGGCAAAAGAATACGGAGCTTTGATAGGCTCAAAAAAAAATATCTGCTGTTTGATCGCTGATTTGTATGCACTATAAAACAATTCTACAAATAAAACCAATATATCATTTCTTAATCATGACCCCATCAAAACCGAGCTATTTCCTAATTATTCCTTCAGTGTCAATGTGTCCCCCCGAGTTGACATTTCATTTTTAAGGGTTACAGCTACTTACAGGGACGGAACTAGAGGTACGCTCACCCCTTCTCGCGAGTGTGACACTACACCGTGCACCATGTACCCAATTTGAAGACTAATGGTAAAGAAAATTCGTCAGGAAAAAAATGAAAATCCATCAAGCTGAAAATCTAAAATTAGTTCTACTTTCTAATAAAAAATACATAAAAGTGCATCATCAGAATAAGGAATCTTATGCCAGTTTGTATTGCAAATTTTCCAAACAATGCATCAAACATAAACCCGATCCAGATGTCAATTACGGATACAAATGTAACTTGAGGTTTCTTTTATTTTTCCTTTTTTTTTTTTTTTTGTTTCTTTGTTTTTTAAAGGCAGTAATCTTTTGAAATAGTTAATGCAACTGTTGCTAACACATTAATAATAGTACTCCTGGCTTCACATACTAACCTGGACGTCCGATCAAGTGCTGTTAGCCCAGTAAGGAAGGTCACCACAAACACCTACGTCCATTCCCCGTCCCGTCGAGTCTTGTACCCTCCATTCTCCTTTTTTAGCATTTGAAGACAACAGGTTGAGTTGGCAGATATTGTTTATGGACCCTGAGGTTGTTTTTACCGATTCAATCTCAGTTTTATTGAATTCTTGATAACAGGAATAGGATTTGCAGGGAGAGCAGGGATATCAGAAAGGTCTGTACTGGATGTTTTCTGAGGACGAAAGTAAAGAACACAGTATCATTCAAAGCACTGTAATTCCACAAGGAGATTTACTTTCTACTGCTTTATTTCCTAAGAAATGGGTGGGATCTTACCATAGAAGAGAAGTATTAAAATGTAAATAAAAATACACTAAAATGCTGTCAGGTTGGAAATGAACATGCCTATTACTATCTAATTATTTGTTCTATGCTTTTAAAATTTTTTCAAATAATTATTAACTATTACATATATGTACGTATACATATATAAACTCCCAAGTAATAGCAAATATAGTGTTTAAAAACAGGCTTCTCTCAGAATCACCTACCAAATAATTATCAAGTTAACGTCAAAGTATATTTATTCAGTATAACTCCGGATCACAGCTTCAACATTAACTGGTATTGGAGCACCCCCATGTGGGAGAATACTTCAAGTTCACCTCATACACAAGAGCAGTAGTTGCACGTAATTTTCTGACACTGCAAATTATAAAATGTAATCGACACAACTCAGTGATATCGTCCTAAATCTGGGGAAAGTTTTATTATATTAAAAAACAGATTAAATCATTCTACTGCCTTCTTTAACATTCAAAACTATAGAGATAACTTTTTTGAATGTTTTATTACAGAAAACTTCAAACATACGCAAAAGGAGAGAACACCGCATAAGGAATCCCCATGTACTCATTACCCAGCTTCATCAACTGTCAAAGCAAAGCCAATCCACCATTCCCTCACTTTCACTCTCCGGATTATTCTGAAGCAATCCTGGAGATCCTATCATTTCATCCGTAAATCTTTCGGGATTTATCTCAAAACAACAAGGATTCTCCGTTAGACACAACCACAATATCACTATCACCTTCGCAGAAATAAGTCTTTCCTCAACATCACTAAACACAGAAATGCATTTTACTTTAAAAAGTCAACATAATCTTTTTATAATTGGGTGATTTTTCTCTCCGTGATTCTAGGAATCCGTTCATTAAAAAGAAATTTCTACTCACTCATGAAAATATCTAAAGGCAAGCACCCGTGGGTACTAATCACTACGGGGATGAGCTCAGGAAGATCAAACTATGGGAACAGCTCCCTAGAGGGCGACATGGTGAACCAGAAGACATGCACCCACAATCACAAGACGGCTGAAGCGTGTAGACCAGGGTGTCCATGTATCAAGCACAACACTTGCTAATGTTACTTCAGTTAACCCCCGGCAAAATTTTATTAAATAAAGGTTGGTGAAATAAAAGACACTGCGGACACTAGAGTATTTAATGTCTTCAGCCAGCAAAAGCACATTTTAAACTTATCACATTCGAGCAAGTCTGTGAAGCACGCGGCCGAGAAAGGGCGTCGCGGTGCCGCCACAGCAACGTCACCAGGCCGCAGCTGTTATCTAGGGTAGCCAGGGCAACAGCTACTCAGATTCAATATTCACTCTGTGTCGGAGTTTGACCTAGACTTTAGGGTCTGCTCAATCTGAAAGGATTCAAGAAGTAAACATAAATTACTTCACCAACAAAAAGAAGGTTCACAAATCAATGCAAAGACTCCAGGTACCTACTGTATGCAAGGGCCTGTCACAAGGAGAACTTCAGGACAAATGAAAAATAATTTCCAAAAACTATGGGTTACACTAAATAACTGAAAATCACCGGTGAAAACTGAGGCAGAAACAAATGTTCAAAATAAAAGATGGTGTTAATCTTGCAAAAAATCTGCGACTGTTTTTAGCTCTCTCGTAGTTGAAACGATACTCTGTAGCTTTTAAATGAAACCTCTATACGAACAATGTGCATTTAACTACTGAGAATTTAAATAATTTGCAACATTAAATGATAATGTAATGGGATCCGTAAGCATCTAGACAGCACACAAGTAAAGCCTCATCCAATCCAATGCCCTGCCTTTAAACTACAATGAATACATTCACAGGCCAGCAATAAACAATTCTTTCATGAAGATCATGGGAATTCATCAGACCACATGAATCTTCAGAACGTTTACAGCTCCCCTTGCTCCGCGCGCTCAGTACCTGCGAGGCCACCAGACAAGCCGCCGTCTGCATCGTTTCCGGCTGCGCTGTGCTTGTCTCTGCGTCCATTTGTTCCTGGGAGACAAAGAGGGTGGGAAAAGAGACTTGAAGAATAAAAGAACATAACTGGGTTTGGTGGCTAAAAAGAAGACAAATTGGAAGGTGGGGGATCAAGAGAAAGCCGTGACTACATTCCAAAATCAGCCACTTGGCCTTTCTGTAGGTTATTCCACTGTTTCAGATGTTCCTCAATTTTTATTTGCCTACTTCGAGCTTATAAGGTACGGTCAAAATATCTCCTGCCTTTCCAACTGGCTCCAACTTGGACATTTTCAACTAACAATAATTAAGACACACACAGGCACGATATAAAATGGTGCCCAGACAACAATTAACAGAATATAAACTCAAGAAAAAACCTCTCTGTTATAAGAAAACAGCAAAATTCAATAATAATTTCATTATTAAATGAAATTACCCAGAAGCACAAAAATTGTGCCATGCCTTTAATTAAAAGTAGAAAAGGTTTCTAAACACGTCTCCCTGCATATGCTCTGTCCCCGCGCCATAAGCAGAGTGCTGATGCTACTCCAATAGTCCTGGGCAAATGCGGAGTGAGCCGTGTCACTCCACTGCCCTGCAGTCTTCACAGCAGCGTACAAAAGCCAGTAGTACATTAAAACACATACACGCGAACACCTAAAAACTTTGACTTTTATAATGCAACATATATAAGAGCAAAACAATGAAATATCAACATTCCCCTATGCAGTAGAAAAGGGTAAATAATAACAATGCCCCGCACACTCTGGGAAGGCGTACGGAGTGGGCACTGAGGAGCGGGCATGGAGGAGTCGGCACAGGAGAAGGGCAGCCTTTCTGGAGGACAACCTGGCAATATATACAAGAGTTCTAACAGGAAGCACACTACCGGCCTCGGTAACTCCTCCTTCATTAATCTACCCTCAGGAAACAAGCGCACCACAGCTGTTCAGCTACAGTCGATACTAGAGCAGAAAAGGGCAACTTTCTTTTCTAATGGAAACAACTGCTAATAACAGGAAATTGGCCAGATAAAATACGGTAGCAGCTTGAAAATGATATTCTATGTAGCCATTAATAGTAATTTTGTAGATTACATAATGATAGAAACTTTCTTCTTGGTTTACAAAGTGAGTAAAGACTACAAGGCACTAGTGGTATGTGTGTGACACGTGGGTACATACAAAATCTAGAAAGACAGACACAAAAAAACAAACAAAAAAAAGCAAGATCTATCCATCACGGGAATCTGGATAATGTGAGGGAAGGGGAAGACTTTGGCGCTTCTACAACAAACAAAGAGGAAATATGTTAACGCCTTCATCGTGATTTCAATTTCCAAAAAACCGAAGTTTTGCCTTTTAGTTTGGCCAAAACAAATCTCTTCCACCACATCTGCCTCACGCAAGCCCATGTGCCTTAACGCTAGCCAAAACCTTCTGCCAAAACCTGGTTCTCTGATCCCACCATGCTCTTTCCTCAATAGTGAGGGGTCCTTCTGAGTTGCCTTGGACTGCCTAAAGTTCTGTGCGTCCTTCAGGGCCACTTCAAAGGCTGATCCCTCCTTCTACGAAGCTCTTCTATTACTGCAGTCACAAGTGACACCTTCCTCTTGCCCCTCGACACCCAGGCCTCAATTACTGTGAATTTTCTTTGATAATGTAATTAATTACATCAACGTCTTACCTTCTCTACTTAATTATAAACTCCTTTAAAGGTACGGAACATGCCTCAATCACCACTATATTCGCTTCAGGATCCACTAGCGTCTAGTGGGACCTCACACATTTAAGGAACTCCATCTCAGCATAATGAATACACATGAGAACAATACTAACAACAATCCAGAACCTACACGACAGAATACAATACCACATTCTAGAGACACTTCTGTCACATTTTCTGTGCTCTTAACGGTGTGCATATTCCAAAGGCTAGATCAGTATACCTTCGTTTCTGTTTTATCATGTCCACTCAAAGCAAGACAGTTAGCCTCTTCACTTGTTTCATCCTGTTTTTTAAAAAAAAAAAAGCTTTATTCTCTAAAATGAAAAATTTAGATTATTGCCAATCAATGCTTTACTTTATAAAACTTTTTAAAACTATAAAACTACAGTTATACCTGTAAGATTAAGCATGGCCTTAAAATAGATTACAGATCCCCTAAAAACAAATTTTTCTTTTTTAAAATTAACAAATTTAATCTGGCTCCAGCATCTACTAAAATTAAAAGGAACATGGGGAAAACCATTCCTGTAGATCATCACCACCTAAGGTACATTCCCCAAACCACTACATTCATAAGAAAAAGCTCCCTGATCAAACAAGTCTAGGAGCTCTGCATCCGATCATCCCGCCCCTGAAGAGTCAGTCACACACACTCACACTCACACACACGCGCACACACACACACAGAGCACATTAGCGCACGTGCGTGCACACACACACACTCCGTTAGCACATTAATGGTTCTGAAAAGTTCCATAAAGGAGACCTTCAAATTCTCTAAACGTAATTAGCCACAGAACCCCTTTCTGAGTAAGACCTAGTAACATCCTGAAGAAATGCCCTCCCTGGGTCTTAATTTTTTAATTTATTCTAATTCTGTTCCAAACAAACAACTCATTTTTGGCAAGGAGGAAAAGGGAATGCCAAAAACAGCTGAACTGCACCACTCCTGGAGGGACTTCTAATTAACATGACTCTCTTAAGAAAAACAACTTTTGTGCATTATTTTCTCTGCTTTATTTACCAAGCAGAACTAAAATTAAAATCTGAATGCGGCTTCTAGAAAAAAATAGAAACCACAGGGTAACCTACGTATCAGAAGAGATTTAACAGCAATACCAACTCATTCCAGTAAGGACCTTATCTGTATCCTGCAAACATACCAACTGTTAAAAATAATAATTATTTAAGTCACAACTGGGAAAATCTGAATACTGACTGGATGTGCGACACTATGAATTACTGCTAATATCGATGTGATAAATACACTGTATGTTTTTTAATAGCTCGTATTTTCTAGATACACCCCAGAATATTTGTGGTTGAAATGATACATTTCTGGTATTTGCTCCAAAACCACAGGAGAAGGTGGGGCTAGAGAAGACAGGCTGGACGTGAGTTAACTGCGGCAGCTGGGCGGTGCAAGCATGGCAGGTCACTACACAATTCCACTTTCCTGCACATGTGAATTTTTCCCTAAGTGTGTGTGTGTGCGCGCGCGCGTGTGTGTATAACTTCATTTTGCCATATAACCCAGGTGGTACGGCAAACTTTTTTCTTACTTTTTAGATTACCATTTGTGTGTGTTTGAAAAACATGAGCATATGATGAACACGAAGCAGAAAGAAACTACAAACTATCCAAACCTGCTTACCTGTATCCACGTTAATGGATTATTGACTGAGTGGGACGAGTCTGTTTCTCTAATTTGCTAGATCGCTAATATCAAGTCCTGGTTAACAGAGACTATTTTAAAAGTCCCAGTTTAGGAGGGGTTTAAAACAAGGACAGTTATACTGTAACTCACTTCTTCAACTTTGGCACCATGAGAATGAGGCTGGAATTCTGACCTTGACTCTGACTTCAGCTAGCTTTATAACTGCAAAAAGCCACTGAACCTCAAGTTCCTCTTCTGTAAAATGAGGAGCTTAGCAGCCTATGGGATAACCTAAGATCTAGTGTTAAAAGTCGATCTTAAGATTCTGTTTTTGTTAAACAACTCCAGGGAGATGCCATAAGCAAAATGCAGACCATCGGAGGACACACAGAACAACAACAAATCTGCAAGGGGAAAAAAAAGGGAAGAGGGAAACCTTCATTAAATGTGACTTAAAGACCTAAGAGACATCAAACAACACAACACAGAAACCTTATTTAGTTCCAGATTTGAACAAATAAACTGTTACAAAATTAATGAGATGATCAGGAACATTTGAGCACTGACTGGACATATACTACTATTAATGAATCAGTAATTTTTTAATACTATTAATGAATCAGTAACTTTTTAAGTGGGCTAATTTTATTTTGCTCATGTCTTCTCTTTTTTTTTAACCATCGCCATGGAGTGCTTGGCATCCATTCATTCATTCATTCATTCTCATCAGTATTTCTGGAGCATCCACCCTCAGGCTGCGGGCACAGGGGAGGCCAAACAGCCAAGCTCCCTGACCTCAGGGAACCCACACTCCAACGAGGGAGGCAGACAGAGACAAGAACACGACAACCAAAGAGAACCACTTCACGCAGTCAAACCAGCTGCTAAGGGAACCAAGTTATAACTTCTCTTTTAGATATGTGATTGTAAAAATACTAATGAAATGATGTCTGGATTTTGCTTCTAAATACTCCAAGGGCAGATGGGAACAGAATAGGCTGAAAGAAGTAAGGGTATAGGATTGGATGAGCGTTCCTCATTACTGAAGTTGCGGTATGGGTACACAGGGTCATTAAATGATTCTGTTTCTGTTGCATATATTTTAAAATTTCTACGCTAAGTTTAAAAAAATCCTGTATTCCTATTGCCTCTCTAAACCAGGAAGAAACACAGTGCTCTTCTACCCGGGTAAACGAAAAGGCCGTCACAAAGCTGACGCTGGCACAGTGTACCGAGTCACAGCTCCCAGGGACACACCTGTGACAGTACGGAAACCAAAGCATGAGAGTCTATGGAGTTAGCGTACATATCCTTCACTGAGGTAGAAGAAATGTGAGTTCTGAAATGCTCTGGCAACAGCAGACACAAATGTGGAACGGCACCAACACCAGGACGTTCTCAGGCGGCTGCATAACACGATCAATCACATGGCAGCAAGGGCTTTTAATAATCAGATTCCCAAGTTTAACTTCTGGAGCGTCTCGGATTCAGTCTCCCAGGAGCCCTGAAGAAGTAACTGTGATGTACAAGCAAAGTGGAGAACCACTGCCTGAGAGATATCTCTCTCTCTCTCTCTCACACACACACACACACACAAGCTTCCAGAACACATCTTGTAAGATATGCAATACTATACCCATTTTTCATTCTCATTTAGAATAAGTGACAAAATTAATCAAAATATTCATCTTTAGTTAACAGTGGCTATTTCCAAAAAATTAGAAGCAAAAGGCCTCAAAATAAACTAAGAAATAGAACCCGTATAAATTGCAGACAGATTAAAACACACCAGACTCCATGAGAAGCCTACAGACTTCCCCTCTTCTACAGCAACACTGGTTTAACAAGTTCCTAAATAACAAATTCAGTCAAAAATCACAATGAAATAGATGATCCCTTTGGAGTGTCATCTCTGGGGCCACAAAAACCACCAGAGAGCAACTCTAGGGAGCAAGGAGATGGGTGACAAGACTACTTCTATTTTCAGACTCCCACCAAAAGGTACTTTGGATGGTTTTCCTAATGGCTGGAGACAGTGACGAGGCAAACCAGCTACAGTAAGAAGGCAAAGTACTGCCAGAGACTCTCCTGAAGAATTGGGGCAAACCATCACTCAAGGTCCCAAACAAATCTGACCTTGTTCAGTGCTTCCGTAAGCATTCCCTGAGATCCTACAGTGCTCAGCGACACTATAAGACAAGTGCAATGTGCCAACTCCCGGACCCCATCTGGAACACAGGTGTTAGGGACTTTTGTCCAAAGGGGCAATCAAACAATCAGCAAACATTCTTGAGAAAATAATCAACTAAGATGCTAAACTGTGTTAGCCTATACATGCTATAGGAGCCCCGGTGGCACAGTGGTTAAAGCGCTTGGCTGCTAACAAAAGGTGGATGGTTTGAACGCACCAGCCGGTCCTTGGAAGAAAGACGCATCAGTCCGCCTCTGTAAAGATTATAGCCTCGGAAATCCTATGAGGCAGTTCTACTCTGTCCTCTAGGGTTGTTATGAGTCAGAACCGACTCAACAGCTGGGGGTGACGCATGTGACAGGAGTTTAAACGAGAGGCACCAGCTCTGTGGAAGGGCAGCTACTGAGAGGAGAAGGAAAGGTGGACAAAAAGGACAGAAAAGAAACTACGGCACTAAAGCACTACAGATACACCTGAAATCATCTTCTCCCAGATCTGAAAACGGGCGAAGCTGGTACTCCCGCGGCTACCTACTGTACTGCACGCACCTCTTCTGTTTTGGTTTTCTTGGGACTCTCTTCTTTATGAGGGGAGGATGTCCTCTTCACGCCTACTACAGCATTAGGTATTTTTGTTGCTGCATTTCCTGAAGGTCTAGGTGGCTGGTTTACCAGACGTGTTGAAGAAACGACTCTGGAGACCGTAGGCTTTGGTGGTGGAGAAATGGCTGGCTGTGCGGCAGTCTGAGGAATGCTTTCACTCGATGTACCTAAGGAAACAGTGTACGAGTTCATGACAACTAAATCATTCAACAAGTAAGGCTTTATTTTACTCCTCTGAAGTTGATTTCATGGATCACTTTACATGCGATTAATAAACTAGCATTAAAAAAAATTAAGTTTAACCTACTTGATCAACCAATAACGCTATTATTTCACAATGAAGGCTAAGCCCAAACCCAACGTAAGCACTCCCCAATCCGTCACCCCGGTGCTCACCCCCTGAGCTTTCACTGGAATTGACTTGTGGCACGGGAACTTCAGGAGCCTGGGTGTTGGTCACAGATGCTGCTGTCACAGCTGGAGCAGGACTGTTTCTGCTAAAAATAATGAAGGAAAAAGCAAGTATAAAATAAAAGTCAAGGACAGAATTTAATACATGCAGAAGTTATTTCTAAAGTAAATGATTCTTTAGTTCGACTTCCAATACATATACTTCGGACACTGACAGCAAAACATAACCAATGATGAAGAGCACCCAAGCACTGTCAAGCAGCGCTGCCCGACAGAACTCGTCATGACGACACAAAGGTTCTGTGTCTGCACTATCCCCAACGGTAGCCACTGTGCACGCGAAATACGGCCAGTGAGGAACCGAGTATTTAGTTTGACTCAATATTACTTAAATTTAAATCTCCACACGTGGCTATGACTACCGTAACGGACAGCCCGGTGCTACAGGATTTGTTTCTAACTAATTCTGGGTATTGGACTTAACTGAATTTTAGGTATAAGAAAATCCTACAGAAAGCTATGAAGACGAAAATGATCTGAGAAACAGAAAATAAATTTCTTCCTACAAAGTCCAAGAGTTGCTGAAACTCTCCAAGCTCAATGGCCCAGGTAATGAACAGAGGTTCTCAAATGACAAGGGGATATTGCAATATTTTGCTTCAAAAATAAATTATTTTAAACCTTCTTTGTTGCTGTTGTGTGCTGATAAGTAGATTCCAACTCACAGTGACCCCCTGTGAAAACGAAACCGCCCCATAGGGACCACCGGGCTCCGAAGCTGTAGTGTTTATGGGAGCAGATCGTCAGGCCTTTTCTCCTGCGTGGAACCGCTGGGGGTTCCAACCACGGACACTTCCATTAGCAGTCGAGCACTTAACACCTCTGCACCACCAGGGCTCCTCCCCTCAAAAGTCCAGCTCTCTCCTCTCTCCGCCTCCTTTCACATGCAAGTCTCAGCAGATAACCTCGTTTCCTATCTCACAAATAACCTGAGCCACCACGCAGGAGTCATCCCAAATTCTAACCATAAAATAAAAGACACACACACACATCTATCCTTATCCCCGCTTCCCTCCTATTACAATGAACTATGTCTCTCTCTCACCATCACCTCTCAAAGTCCAATCCCTCCTTCCATCTTCTGGATCCCACTCGCTCTCACCCCCCGCCACCCCCCCCCCGGAAACTCACTTTCAATCCTCCCCCCTCTACTTGTCAACCTCTTCAACTTTTCTATCTCAAATAAATCCTACCGTTTAGCATTTAAATCATCTCAAGCTTTGATTATCTTCCAAAATAAAAGCAGACAGTCCTCCATGGTCACCCTCTCCCTCCAGCTAGAGCTCTATCTGCCACTGGTGAAAATGCCAGCCACACTGGATGACTTGGATTTTTTGGTCCTAACCCAGTCAGCTTACTAAAGGCATGGAGTGTACCACTCTATGCAGGTAAATGAAGTTAGAACAGGGATACCACTCAGGGAGAGCACCAAGATGGAACAAGGGCTGAGGAGAGGGCCCTCAAGGGCACAAAAATTTGATAATTAAACAGAAAACGAGAGCTGGCCAGATCCGACAGATGCAGGAGAAAACCCGCTGCGGACAGAGCTAGCAAAGGGCTTAGGACATAATAAATACTCAGTATTTGTTGAGCAAACATACAGCCATAAACTTAAAACCTGGCAGTCTTCTTTACAGAACTTATTTAATGACACTTAAAGAAACTGAGACTAACTGTGAAATTACCTGGTGCACTGACCTTCCAGACCAGCCGTCAGTCGCCTGCACCACTGTACCGCCAGGGAGCCTTGCTTAGTGTGCACATAATTTATACACACGCACAAACTCACAAGTACACAACAGCTTTTACAAATCCCAAAACTCTGACTAAAATGTTAGCATCTTCACTCGAAAAACAAAAATCAAATCTACCCATTAATAGTAAAAATCTTGAAGTTTACACTCTTCAAACCGGGAATCGTTATAAAACGAAGAAGATTCAGAGATCACGTTCACTCTAAAGTCTTCACCCTACGCATCAGTAACCTACAAACACATCACGCGTACAAAGCTGAAGATGAAGAGAAGTGAACCCAGCGCTCCACCAGGTGTGTTCTATTGCATACTCGTCCAGAGAACCGTCCCCACCCCACGACTCTGATGTTGGTTCTACTTTAACTGATAATCCAATTTTTAAAACATTTAAAAACAAAAAACAGGAATATAAAATGTATTTAGGAAACTGCTTGTTAAGTGTCAACTCACTGATTACGAAGCATATACACCAGTGTAACCACTGCACTTGTTGAAAACATCGTCAAGCCCCCTACACATCTACCCTAACCAGCTCCCTCTGATAATGAAGTAGGACATCTATAAAAAAAGGGAAAAAAAATTCTTGAAAGATACACTAGAAAGATTTATAGACGTTAAACATAAACATGACTTTTTGTGTTCTATTTTCACCACCACAGGCACATATTTCTTTTACAATAAAAAAATCTAAACTGCCTGGAATGTTTTCAAAGAGAATCTTAATTCTCTCACTACAACCAGCCGGTACAGACTGTCACCTTCTTTAAAAGCTCCCTAACATGTTCGCAGATGTGCTCCCCTCCTCCACAGGTACAAGCCGTTCCGGCACAGAGAGGTGATCTTGTACTCCCTTGTCTGTTCTCCTCAGCGCACTGACTGTTTACTGAAGGCAGTCGGTGTCCCCAGACATGAACTCGGAGGGGTTAGGGTGCTAATAACATTCGTTACTATCTGAATCAAGACAGATCAGTTCCAGATCCGGAATCCAGGTATGATACAGTATGACAAAAACAAAAATTGTTTTTTTCCAAAAACTGGAAGTAAAATTGCTGCTAAAGCATTAAAATACGGAATAAAAATAACACTGTAAATGGATTATTTTAACAGCAACAAGAGGATGTATCTAACATGTCTGTTAGCAAGCAGCTGCTCCGTCTCCGCTGTCCTGTCCTTACCCCTGAGAGCTGCCAGAACTGTTCAATGGACTGGTCTTCATAGCACTGGTAGGTGAAGGCACAGACATGCTGTTGTCACTGTCCATAGACAAGTCGAGGCTGCTGTCATTCAGAGCTGTCAATCGGACACCTTCTGTTGAATGCTGTAATCAACAAAATATTTCATCAAATGTATCTTTATTTCACCCAGATATCTGAAACCTGAACACCTTTTACTTAACTGATACATGATTTCTACTAGGAAGTACAAATCAACAAGTCTGTGAGAACTGCAAGTGCCACGCTGGCTGTAAAGGCAAAGATTTGGGAATCACGAACTTGGACTTCTAACAGGGTCTTCAGCCTAACTACAGTTGCAATGTGGGAGGAGAAAGGATTAAGAAATGCTATGCTGAATGTACGCACAGACTGTGAGACAAATCGCAAAGTAAAATGCATTATAATATGAAAACATATGCATCTTGAATCAGGACCATAATTTAATTTCTTTCATACATACATTTATATATACACATATATGAAAGAAAAAAGTTTTAATGATAAACACAACACTAACAATGAATATCTCTGGATAGTTAGATTAGAAGTAATATCGTTTATAGATATTTCTAATTATTATACAACGAACACAAAATTATGTAATTTCAAAATAATTATCATGTAAGTACAATTTAGTACCACTTATTACTATTTTGCAATAAACTGAGCCTCTCAGAAAAGCAAGACACTTCCAGTGCTCTAGCTATAACTTAGGATTTTAACATGGTACATTTAACAGTGTAAATTATCCTATGAAAACAGAAGCAGAAGTAATTTTCTGAAAATTAAACCTACGATCCACATATAAATCCTAATTGTTGGTCTTGCTTAATAGTCAAAGCAGTCAGTAAGCAGGAAAACCAAAACAATGGTTTTATGGGATAGAGCTAATTTCTGTAGTATCTTTTTTGTAAGTTTCATTTTTGCCATCAGAGCTATTACAATATCACACTGATTTTTTCAGTTTCATTTTTTTCAGAATACTTTTAGCCTCAGTGTTCACTGAATTACAGAAACATTTTAATGGAAATAGTTCCCAACTACTGACAGAAAGCCAGACCCCATATATGTGTACACAGATATATATACACGTGCTACTCTCCAGTTTCCCCAGTGACATCATGTCCTAATGTTTGATTTAGCACAAAGAAACACCACTGTGTACACAGCTAATACTCATCCAGAGGGGAAGAAGGGACAGAAGGAGACAGTAACACCATTTGCTTATAAAGTCAGCTGTGAAACAAATTTTCTTGAGTTCTAAGTGAGCCCCTTTCCTATGCAAACATGCTAGCAGCCCCTCTCCCCACTGGGCACGAGCAGGGTCTGTTCACCCAGCAGTGACCTGCCCCTCTCCCCACTGGGCACGAGCAGGGTCTGTTCACCAATCAGTGAGCTGCTGCAGGACTGCACTCCATTCTACAGAGCCACCTGTGAGAGGACCAGCCACCACTGGGGTAATCTGGGAAGAGGCGGTCTGCGCACCAACAGCAGGAAGTCACTCTCTATAACCCCTATGTCTGTATCAAGTCTGACAGCAAGACTCCAACACCAAACACTCAAAAGCATTCTATCGAAGTGTTTTCATGAAACACCAATCAGCCAGAGAACATGCCACAGAGAGAAGTCAACACCACACACGCTTTGCAGTCGGAACTCCACACACAGCTCAGACTACATGGCCTTGGGGAAGCTTCTTAAGTTTCTTAAGCACTGTTTCTTCTACAAGAGACAATACAAACAGGCTGCCTGGACATTAAATATAGAAAGGACTGGTACAGTGCTTTACAAATAGCAGTTAAAAGAGAGCTATTAATAACAGCTCAAAGAGAACATTCATGGAACCAGACTTCTAGACACTGGTTACTTACAGAAACAAAACAGTGCTATTTTACTAAAGACCTTAAAAAAAATCTAAGTGATCTCAAAGAGATGACAGATTCAACAAGTCATATTACAGTCATGCAAAGAAATACCAGGCAGCCACTAAAAATGTCACACAGATAAATGGTCACGCTATAGGCTAACTAAGCACACACACACCAAAAAAAAAGTCAGGTCACAAAATGGTACCAGCAAAGCCTTTTAAAAATACGTATTATATGTGGGTATATATGTACACTCAATAGTCAATGCAGAAATCAAAACGTTACGGGTGATGAGCTTACATTGACTTGATTTGATAAATCAAAATCTTGGACTATACAAGTTTCTGATCATTGATGATTCTTTTTATATTCTAAAAGATCACATCCACACAGACACCACCTTACAGATAAAAATAAAGCATCTTATAGTGAAACTTTCTGAAACGACACACTTAGTCGTTTCCAAACCCCGACCTCGCCATGTAAACACCAACAGTTTTAAAAGGTGATCTGAATTGAGGGTTCTGGAAATCTAACTGTGTGTTATAAACAGCTGTTTGAATAAAACTGAAATGAGTAAGCTTTAAAGAATACAATAATCTAATTATTCACATTCACTTCTGAAACACAAATGTTCATAAACATTTTTAATATACAGTGAATATACACTCAAGCCTAACTACTTAAGCCCATCAACAATATAACACCCAATGAAAAATTAGAGGGCAAATCTTTGACTTGACACTTTAAAAATAAAATTGCTTGAGAAAAGAATCACACTATTTTTTTCACTTTCCAGATTGTCATGAAACCATGAGGTTAAGAGAAAAACAAGATAAGACTTAAATATAATGTATCTAAAGACTTAAATGTTACTTTTTAAAAAATGAAATGTGACTTTTAAATTGCATTTAGACAAAAAAAGGAAAAGAAATTACCTGTGTACCATATCCTCAGGTTATTAACAGTAACAAGGACAGTGACAGTAACAGAAGTTAATGGGAGCGTTTACTACGCGCCAGGCTCTCATTCAAACCCTCTGAGTGTACTGACTCGTTTAACCCTCACAAAGCTAGACCCAGTAAGAGTGGTAAAAATACTTTAAGATATTAATTTTAGAGATGAGGCAAACCATGTAACAGACGACTGTTAGGGAATCTGCCCAAGTCTCACAGCTAGGAAGCAGTGAACCTTAAATCTGCATCAGAAAATGTACTCCAGAGTCCTTGCTCTTAACTTCAATGTTTTTGTACCATGATATATTTTATTCTACTCACAATCTGTTCTATACCTTAAGAAACAAAACATCATAAAGCTGAAGGTCCCTACATATTAATTTCATTCCCCTCCTTTCCCAGCCCCATTCTGATAATCAACCATTATCCTGATGCTTATCATTCTCTAACATATACTTTTATTTCATATTCTCTCCTAAGCAATGAAGTATTGTTTTACAAGTTTTTTTTAACTTGTAAACCTTATATAAAGCACCATATGATACATTTTTTCTGCAACTATTTTTTTACTCAGCATATTAACATCCATAGCTCTGAATCATTTATTTTCACTGTTGTGTACATATTCCATTATAGGAATAGCCATCCATTTTTAAAACCACTTTAAAAAAATGTAAATGCCATCTCTGCACTAAAATTCCAATATGCCCTTCAGAATGAGTCCATATAAGGGGGAAATGGCTCTAAGGTATTCAAAAGCAAGAAGTGACGCTGGGACAGTGTGCTATAGAACAGTGACTCTAGAGGCCATGAGTACGGCTGCCAGCCACCTCCTTCTTCATACTCAGTAATTTTTAATTTTTAAATAAGCCATTTTCGTAAGAAAATTTTCTTATCAGTTACATGATCCACATATCAACTGACTAATTTTATTTTTTGAAGGAAATGAAATTAGGTATTGATGTGAGATTTTAAATGGACAAGAATAAACGGTTTTTAAATGAGAATGTATTATATATAAAATACGGATATGGAGCACCACCACTGATCTCTCTAAAGTCTGAAGCAAGTGTGTCCAAGAAACTGGATTAGGAAATGCAGCTATTCCATGTCCCAAATTTTTTTTAAAATCCTGTGATCTATTTCAAATATGAATTCTTCTTATTAACGAAGCCCAGATTTTGAAGTACTGATAAGCTGGATGCATAAAAGACTACATTAGTAATGCTTTTGTAAGTACTTTCTAACTTTACCTTTTTCTTTTTCTGAAGCACATGATTAGGCAGTAGTTGATGGAGTTGCCTTCTTTTTACATGCATTGCAGCAATTTTCATATCCACCTCAAACATCTTGCTGTTTATTGCTTGCCTATAAACTATACAATTAGGAAATTGTTAAAAAAAAAAAAAAAAAAGAAACATTTTAATACAAGCAGTTAAACTCACCCAAGGAGAAGCTATTCTAAGTAAGGATCCCTTTTTGATCAACACCGCATTATCTGTAAAACTATCAGGTCAAGGTCTAAGTCTAATCTTATACCATCCACTGCCTGAGCAAACTCTACGTGCCTATTACCACAAGGAGTACATAACAAATGAAAGCACAGAGCATATTAATCCTGCCAGTGTACCTCTTTAAGAAACTGCAGAATTAGAGAGAAAGGGTTTTTTAAACCCATCCTCTTTTATGCTATCAGTGTAATTTAAGATCGTAGCCCAAGTACGTAACAATGCAGCAAAATAAAAGTGAAACTCATTGAACTGTATCTAAAAAACACCTTTTCTAGAATCTATGAGAGAAAATTTTAAGATGGGATGTGAATATTCATTTTAAGTGATGACACATTTATTACAGAAATAACCCAAATGACAAAGGGCACAGGAGCCAAAAAAAAAAAATGCTACAAATAAATCCAGATCATTTAGCTCTGGAGCCGACCCCAAAATGGAGAAACTGCCTAAGTCAATCATGCAACACATACTGCCTGGGCACCTATCCTCTAGCACACTGTTCTGAACACCAGGGATCTGAGAGTGAACCAGAGACCAAAAACAGCCTACAGTCTACATCCTAGTGGGGAGAACACAACAAACAAACAGCACAGAGATCAAAGAGGTGGAATATATTCCAGTCAGATGCTGCTGAGTGCTACGGAGACAAACTGAACAGGAAGACAGGAGCTCCACCTGGAAACAGACGACGTTTGAACCAAAAAACCAAACCCACTGCCGTCGAGTCGACTCCAACTCACAGCAACTCACTAAGACAGAGCAGAACTGCCCCATAGGGTTTCCAAAGGACAGCTGGTGGATTTCAACTGCTGACCTTTTGGTTAGCAGCCGAGCTCTTAACCACTGCACCACCAGAGCTCCGATGTCGCTTGGGTGGAGCCATAAATGAAAGGGAGGTGAGCTGAGGGCACCTGGTGCCTCTCTCCCAGGGAACATGCCCTGGACAGAGAGCATGCCGCAGCCTTTCAGGAGCAGCACAGCAGCGGTCAGGGAAGGCGGGCAGCAGACGTTAACAATCCCCTCTCTGCAATTCTTAAATCCCAAAAGCGCCTAACACAGAAGACTTCCCCTAAGTGTGACACCAAAGCTCATCCGGCAACAAAATCCGATCCAAACAACTTGTGGCTATTCAGCCTTTGTTGTTAGCCTTCAGAGTCAGCCCTGACAGGCAACCTTGTATGCAACAAATCAACACATTAAAGGTGGTTCTGTGCCATCTTCACCATCAGTTACCTTTTGCTAATGTGAGTTATCACAGGGTTCCCTCTGATCACCAGATTCTGCTCCAGGCCCAGCAAGGATATATTACAGAGTATTAAATTTTATGAACTCTATTACCTTTCTGGCCTCAAGATACACGGATAAAGGGATGTGGGCCTATCACAGGACATGAGGTCAGAGACATAATGGCACTCTCAGATCAAGTGGAGGCTTGCAAACCACAGGAAGGGCGTGAGCTTCTGTTCTGAGTGAGATGGGGAGCCACCATACATTCAATGTGGCTTTAAAAGCTCCCTTTGGATCCCGCTTAAAACTAGCTGAGGGAGGGCAAGGGCAGAAGAGGGAAGCTAAAGCAGTGGACAGACCAGTGATAGCCTAGACGAGGGTGGCAGTGCTGGGAATGCTAACAAGCGGCAGGACTCTCAACACTACTCTGAAAGCAGAGGCCAGAGGATTTGGTAATGGAGTGTGGGGAAGAGGGAAATCAAGAGTCAAGGATGACTCCACGTTTCTAGCTTGAACAACCAGAAGGACGTCTTAGCCAATAACTAAGCTTACACAGACTTGGAGAGAAGCAAACTGGGAAGGAAGAGGGGGCGAAGACTTCTGTTTTGAATGTGTTAAATTTGTTTTACTAAAAAAATCCCTCAAGGTGGTCCATTAAAATGTTTCAAGATACAGGACAACTAATTATTTCTTTCCCAAAATATCTTAAGAGTTCCTTGAAAATTATGATGGTTCGTTAGTACGATCTTTGATAAAACAGCTCAACCTGGATGTGACATATAAAACAGATTTTCTAATTCAACTATCTCTCCATGACTTGTTAGTTCATAGTTTAAGCTGGCACTGGAATTTTTACTTAAAAAAAAATCACTTCGGTGGTGTTCAGCAGGAAGAGTATCATCTTCAGATGACGTCCTGGAAATCTGTGGCAGTGTTTCTGCTGTCACAGTGATTAAGGGTTGCTATCTGTCTTGGAAAACATATGACCAGAATGTTCCTTAGAAACAAGGATGGCGAGACTACATTTCACGTACTTTGGACATGTTATCAGGAGGGATCAGTCCCAGAAGGACATCATGCTTGGTAAAGCAGAGGGTCAGTGAAAGAGAGGAAGACCCTCAACAAGATGGACTAACCCAGTGGCTGCAACAATGGGCTCAAGCATAACAACGATGGTGAGGATGGCACAGGACGGGCAGTGTTTTGTGCTGCTGTGTGTAGGGTCGTTGTGAGTCGGAATCGACTCGACGGCACCTAACAACAACACTGACTAGGGACACTAGATATCCTGCAATATGCATCCCCTAAAAAACCAAAGCCATTGCCGTCGAGTCGATTCCTACTCACAGCAACCCTACAGGACGGAGCAGAACCGCCCCTACAGGGTTTCCAAGGAGCGACTGATGGATTCAAGCTGCCACCCTTTTGGTTAGCAGCCGAGCTCTAACCGCTGTGCCATCAGGGCTCTGCAATATGTTCCATGCCCTGTCTATATTCCTAAAGATGAAAAATCTACTTATAAATTATTTAAACCAAAAACTGAACTCAGTTTTACATAAAAACTTAAGTATTTTTATCCTGAATTTTCCAGGAACGCAACTACCATGTAAATCAAGAGATTATCTTTTATTTGAATCTTTGATTTTGTCACCAATGGCAACATAGCTGATGGTGTCTGAATCACTACAGTCTAACACCTGTCTCAGTCAGAATTCCCGAACGTCACAATGGCACTGATTCCACATACAGGTGCGATCACCTGACTGCTCCGGTGTGCCTTCTAGTATCTTTGTGCCTGAGCATTTGAATACTGGAATATAGATTTTTGTCCTTTTATTTCTCCTTTATAATTACAGTTAGTGCATACGTATTTTTAATTTTAATTCGTATATATAATTATACTATCTATAAATTCCATTACAGCATAGTAAATATTATTAAACAAAAGTATCTTATCATAGCATCTAAATTTGAGACTGGCTTTTTAATTGAAACTTCCTATAAAAATGTAATCTAATTTCTACTTAAAAACCTAAAGATTCAGTCACTTCCTTTAATTTATTACATAGGACTAGCAACTGGAAGTTACATACTTCAAGCTAAGCTGAAAAACAGTCAACTGAATTGTACCATTTTTTTTCTCTTCTCGTCTCTGTAGGTTGGTAAAAATTAAATTTTTAACATTAAATCTGAATGTTCTCTGTGGAAAATTGTTTCCCCTGGACAGCTGGAAAATGCCACTTACTGCAATGTTTTAAATGGGGGAAAGAGAAGAGAATGAGTCCTTAAGGAAGATGCACAGCCGTCCTTGTGCATACTTGCCGGCCCCTTGAAAAGGTGTGTATCTACACACAGCCTTAGCTTTCATCACAGCCATCCACCACTTTCGGTCTTTAGTTATAACATGTTATCTTTTATCTCAGGGTACAGGTCAATCTGAAACGCAGACCAATTCACCCTATGCCCCTGTCCAGGAACTAACATAATACTTTAATCTACACTTGACACACAGAAAAAATTCTTCACGTCCCCAGAAGTTTATTTTCACCTGTTTCTAAGGTTCAAGATTATTAAGGCAGAAATAGACTCAGTCTTTTAGACACTCATACACACAGGTTGTTTCTAATTTCATAAATAGTGTAAATAAACCAAATTTAAAACTGTTCTACGTAACTTCAAGGTCTACCACTGTTAAGATCATTTATACGGTGGACATCACTGAAACTAACCGAAAACCACTAAATTATCTTGATGATCGCTGTTCCCAAGTAATTTCAAGTTGGTTATTGCAAATAACTATGGTGTACATTAAGAAAAATTCAAATATGCAAGCATACAAATGTTCTGATTACCCAAGAAGAGACATACCTGTATCTGTGAAGGACTGAATATCATAGGTGAGATCAACACTGAGGTTTTCAGAGTTTTCTGTTTTCTTAAACACTAACCCAATTACCCACATTGTACGAAATTCTTCCCTGCAAAGTAAGAATACTACCGTGATTTACTAGGTTATGAAAATACACTACAAGTGTGGCTGACAACCTGAGGTAAGTGGACAAACTTGAAATACAAATGTATAAGCAAACTAAGTAAAATTCTAAACGCAAACTCCATCAAAAAGCACTTAAACAAGTACTGTCACACAAGAGTGTGTGTATAAACTTTTGTGTGAGAAATTAACTTGAGCTGTAAACTTTCACCTAAAGCACAACTAAAAAAAAAAAAAAAGCGCATATAAAAGTGTCCCCACACACCTGTCCTCTGTGTTCTTAGTAGTGTATAAACAATCAGAGTTTCAAGGCAAATATACTCTTACAATCTGTAACTGATGATTCTAAAGCAGGAAAGGCTCTAGAATCAAAGAAAGTATGTTCTAACTAATAAGGGAAAAGAATGCTATTTAGAAACATCTGAAACAAAAAAGGATTTTCTAGATAAAAAATTAACTAGAACTTAAAAATATCCTTAAGCCTTTAAAACTCAATGAGTGAAGTCATGTGAACAGAGAATTCACAGCGGCATAACAACTACTAGTGGTTCAGCTGCTTCTGCACTTTCACGGTGCATCTGAATCAGTCTTTCAATAATTAAGATTGCAGTAATAGGCATAAAAATAGTAAAAAAAAAAAAAGAAAAAACCCACAAGCAACAAAATTCTTTCACATGATTGCAAAAAGAGGGAGAAAAAATCTATATACATGGCAAGCAGCATCCAGGATGCCAGTGACAGCCATTCTATGATGATACAACCTGAAGTGGTCCTTCAACCTCTGTTTTTCAACCTTTCTTTAATGCTGCTTTATTTTTACAATTTAAAAAGCTCGTTACTAATACTTCCCTTATCCTCAAATGCTGCCAAGTATAGGCAAAGTAGAGTCTCAAACTAACTAATAACACTTCACCAACCTGACCAGCCGGTGGCCTATCAGAGGCTCCTCCAGGGACAAAGCAAGCCTGCTTTTATTAACACATCCTCACAGTGTTTCAGAATCTACCACAGATCACAATTTCACAAGGTCAAAATGAAAGTATGTTCCCTTTTTTAAAAAATTAAAATGAAAAGCAAAGACTGACGCTTGGTACAGCAGCTATCTGGACGACCTCTGTGGAATCAAGACGAGCGTAAAGGAGGAACACTTAACAGCAGCGTGAGGCAAGTCTGCAGAGCGTGAGCTCACTCAGCCAACAGGCACCTCACTGTTAGGTTATTATCAGAGAAAACTATTTCAGTGCTGATTGTTCTCAAGAAATAGTCCTTCTCTTCAATGCTTCTGATCAAGATAACCTAAGCTAGAAATTCTAAATTTGTTTTGATCTATAGGTAATCAACAGAACAGTGGTTCTACATATATTAAAAATAAATAAATTACCTATAAAAACTTCTATGAGTGAAAGTTGAAAAGGGAAGAAGGAATTAAATTAGAAGATTCCTTACTTGTCAGGATTTTCTTTGGGTGCTGGAAATGACTGGGGGTTCACATGCGCCAACGTAATGAATTCATTCTTCTCCAAGCTTCCAACCAGGATGCGGATTTTTGATTCCACCAAGCCCACCCTGAACAAATGCCACTCAGTATTATTCAAAGTTGTAGTTAACTTTTAAAAACAATCATAAATTAAATGTACTTATGTAAAGTAGTAATATAAAGATCACAAAAAACTTGTACACACATGCAAGCAGTTCAACTGTCTGAACGCCACAGGGAGACCAGAGCCTTGTGCTCTACCCAAAAATGCTAAGGCATTGACAACAATCAACTTTTCTCCCTTGGCGGAGAATCAAACCACACATCATTCCAACCAGCAAAGTTGCAAAAGTCAGTGCCACTAATATTTAAAGAAGAAAAACAAGCAAGCTAAAACTGTTAAGAATTGATATATGTAGCTTTATAAAGCAAACAAAAAATATGTGGATCTTCTAATTCCTACATGTCCATTACAACAAGGAGAAAGCTCCATTTACAAACAAATCAAAGCCAAAATGGATGCTCTAAGGACTTCCTCCCATCTCCTACTGCCTTCTGGAGGCATTTGAGTCATTCTGAAATAAAGTCTAACCTTATACTCACCATTCTAGGCGCTGTTTTTCTGTTGGTGCACTTGCTAGAAGTACAATATAATGCCTTTGAAGATAAAGACAACATGCTATTTATTTTATATATATGCTTTGTGCTGGATATTAAACCATAATGTAATAAGCTTCCTTACAGTTAAAGATCAACATCAATTTGGTAAAGGGGGTTGGAATCTCAATATAAACATAAAATCCTAGAAGTTAAAATCCACTAGTTTCAAACTACTGGTGGGTTTAAGTCCTTCTGAACAAGACAGTCATTTTATGAATAATTACAATAAAAAGCCTATTAACTCAAGAATGCTGAATAAACGTAACTGATAGCCTTGTTTGATGATGCCAATGAAGTGCTGAACCTCTTCAAAAGTATAAAACTGAAGAGCTGCTCACCGAAATGAAATCTATTAAACCAAAACTGCCTTAATGGAAACAGAGCACCAGGGCCTCAGCGACAAAAACATAACTAAATAGAGATACTACACCGGTAACTTCAAAACTAGTGTCAAACATCCTGCACTTTTTAATTCAAATTAAAAGGCAGCAAAGTTAAACTGGGCATTGACATGAACCTCTGTGATTTTTCTGACAAAGAAACAGATACCACTAACGTGAGAGCAAAAAGAACTCTGCTTTCTATACTGAATGCAATACCACTCAGATGAGAATGAAGGCAAGTTTTCAGTTCAGAAAACACCACGACCAAATAGCTACTTTTAATCTTTTCTTAAAAGACTATTTACACAACTACTGAAGTACAATTTATTACTATAAATCAACTTCATAAGGCTGAAAACGTTCAGCTCGATATACCCTTTTATAGTTTCCACTTTTAACTGCTGGGAGTCAAATTTCTCACAAGGAACTGAACCTCAACAGCAAAGTGAGGTCACTGTCTAGTACAGACACCATATGGAAAGGGGAGAATGACTAAAAATTTAAATGTTGTTACTCTATGTCTGAGACATTTATGATGTTTTCTTACAACCACACTTAACACGTAAGGTTTCCGACCAAAAGCAAAGGTCTGAGCTGGCCCAGAAAATAACTCCAGACCAAGTTAGCAAAGAAAAAAAAAATGCAGGCAAGGAACACTGACAGCTTTGCGAGTTTAAGCATTTTTAACCATGTTCCCTTGAAAGACCCCTTTGATCATTTAGTATTTATGCTCACAAAATATGTGAAAAATAGTCCAGATACTCTGTGGCTATAATTCCGGACAAGTCTAAGACTCATGTTCCTCGTCTGTAAACTGCAATAATAGTGCCTGTCTTACTGACAAGGTACAGGGAAGCTGGAAGCTCAAACAAATGAAGGTCAAGTACTGCAAATCTAAGGTGACAGAGGAAAGATACATAACTGAGAATACGCAGACAAAGGTGACTATGCAGCCCACATTCACACAGACCAACACCTCTCTGTCGGTTCATTTGCTCGGTTTTATCGGAGCAGGCCAAATACAAACACAGCACAAGCACAGACAGCCTATGAGCAACTAAGTCACACAAAAGCAGTAAAAGCTCGTACATTTTATCTACAGAAAACACCCTGCAACATACACTCAGAGCCCAGAATGCTCTGAAACAAAAGCCTAATAAGTAATAAGCTTAGGGACCTGATTTCCAGGTCCCTCAGAGAGTAAGGTAAGCAAAGGATTTTTTTTTTAATTAAAAAAAAAGGGGGGGGGGATGGAGAAAGCTCTCTGACAAAAGTATATCAACGTACAACAGGAAACAACAATGTATACAAAACTGGCAGGCACACAAAACTTAAAAATGCCAGGATGTCCAGGATCACCTGGTCATAAGGACCAACGTCCCTCTGTCCCTAAATCACTTCTTTACACTATTAAACAGATACTGAGTGTCTGACAAAAGCTTAAATGATGCACAATATTCTCTATTTATAAAGGTGAAATATACAATCCACTTGAATATAATTATGTTGACAAATAAAAGTTTAAAATGTTGAAGCCTAAAGAGTTTGATTTTGGTTCCTATCGAAATCCAGGAGGAGAACTATCTACTCTGTACACTGTTCATAAACATAGCTAGAAGTGTTACCTCTAACAAATTCTTTATGCTGCAGTTTAAAGTCCTTTACTCAGCCAAATCTAAGTAAATTTGAAGTGGGAGATATAAAATGAAATAATCAGTACATTTAACAGAAATAACTTGCCAATACCTTACGTTAGCCATTAGGAGTTGGTTTATTCAAAAAGAAAAAGAAAAAAAAAAACTCATCTATCTAAGAAATGTTTTAGAAGTCCCAGCCTCATTCTTTAAAAATAACTACATTTTGTTAAGGTTTAAAAACCATCACTAGGTAATCAATTCCTAAAATCCCTACAAGAGCACAACAACCAGGCAGAAATACTTCTAGATTTAGCCTCCATTAGTTTGCGATGTACCAAAAACTGTGATCCCCTATTTCACCCCGAAGGGATTACGGCACCTTCTAAACATGACCTGCGAATGAAGAAAGGAAGTCTCACTCAGCATAAGTAAATTCCACAAGAAATGAGGTATTCTGTGTACTGCCTCTTAAAACTGTCATACTTAAGGGGCTCAAATGCCTTCAAGAGACACTTCCAAGTCTTAATGCAATTCAACTGTCATTAAGTTTTCCCCAAATTTAAAGATTATCACAGCTTCCAATAAAAAAAATTAACTATAAAAATGTGTTTCCAATGCATTAAAACCTATTTTAAAACACCCAATAACATCTCATTTAGTTATTATGTATAATAACTATTTAACAAAAAGTATTCTGTAAATTAGGTTTTTCCTGGCCATTTCATCTCACCAATATTTTACCTGGGTAGACAGATACTAGCTCAGATACGTGCACTGAAAAATATAGTCATCTCTCAGTCAAAAATCCTAAGTAATCCAACGCTGAGTTACTCACAGTTCAAGTTTTTATGCGTGTTTTCAGGCTAAATTATTTTACAGACATACTCTTTGAAATCACGTACGATTAATCTTACACCTTAGAGAAGAACATTCCGGTTTTTTCCCTAATACTTTTTCTTCCTTGTTGCCTCATGAAATACACACCCAAAATTACTATTCAAATTCCCTGTATTTATGATTTATTTTATTACGAGCTATGTGTTAATTTGAGTATCTTAAAAGGGAAATGAAGAAACTTTCTTAAAACTATTTAAAATTCTACAAAGCAATGACACCACCTTTCTTCCCAAAGAATGTTAGTACCTCATTTTCCAGAAGACAACCTGTCTGCTTTTTTTAGACAACTTCCTTCAAAGTTCCCTCCCTTCTAAGAATGACAAGTATATTACACACAATGTAAAATCCTATACCCATCAAATAAGGTGCCCCGGTGGCACAATGATTTTAAGCACTCAGCTGCTAACCAAAAAGTCACTGGTTCGAATCCACCAGCAGCTCCATGGGAGAAAAGACCTGTTCCCATAAAGATGATAGTCTAGGAAAACCTTATGGGACGGTTACTTTGTCATATAGGGTCGCTATGAGTTGGAATTGACTTGATGGCACACAATGACGCTGATGTATCCAATGGCAATAATTCCAAAATAAGACTTTGACGCAAGAGAACACCAAGGATTTCAATTCAGCTATACATCAAATCTTTGGAGGATTTCATATGAGAATATGTTTTGAAAAATTCAAATCTCTGAATACTTCCAAAAGCTTACTGACAGTAATCACTGCACCCTAAAGAGGGGATGGGACTTGTCTGGAGAAGAACTGAAACTACAAACAGAACCTGGTGTAGATAACGTCAACACACTGCTGCCATGTCCTAACATTTTAGTTCTCCCGGGACTTACAGTTATAATTTAAATTTTCCTGATGCGATTTCTTTAATTTGTTGCTATCTCCTCACATCTAATACGCTGTTTGTTTTTTTTTTAATAACCTAAACTTAAGAATTTATCTCAGAAGAGTTCAATAAAGATAGTTTAAATCACATGTTAAAACATATAATCTTTTAGCCAGTCAATTGGAAATCTCGTAAGTACTATTTAGCAAAGATTGGTGTACTGTCTAAGTGTAAAAATAAACTACGTAAGATTTAAATAAAAAAAGCAGCTCCAAGGTTCTAGCAATGTGAATTTATTCAAACGAAATGACACTATCAAGGCTTTTTCAATTTCAAGGTTAATCTTTCTTAATGTGACGGAAGCTACTGAAGTAGGTACTCTCAAGAACCTCATTCTGCCTGCCCCTTACTGCTCTTTGCTTCTTGGGAATGAAAGATGCTGACAGCCTGTTCTACAACTCTGTTCCTCTCCTTACAAGTAATTAGCTACTGTTTTATATTTTAGTTTAAAAAGCAGCAGAATATATGTTTACTAGTTTAAATGTTCAAAGGTACTTCCGACCACATTGGTTACAATAAAAAACAAAGAAAAATTCTCTGCCAAATGAAAAAGCACAATTTATGGGGAATAAGTAATAAAACAAGAACATTCAATATTATGGTATCTAAATTTTCACTGACCACAACGCAGCGCTCTTAGAACACAACAATCAAGCTGGCTCTATTACTGCTTGTTCATGCAAAAGATACAGAAACAAAACACAGAGACGTCGTGAAGGTCATCATCTTGTTTTAATTGGGGAACGCATAAAGCAATCTTGCTTAGATTATTTATTACAAAACACACCCAACACAAGATCGAATGGTCAGGGAAGTTTCAAACATTTAAAAATTTGTAAGCGGGACTTTGGCAAATTTTCAGCTCAGGGCAAATAAAAGTGCAAGTCCATGTTTTTTTAAAAAGTAAGATTTATTATAACTTACAATTTTCATCAAAACCAATACAATTAATCAGGCCTTTAACCTATGCTAAGGTATTAAACCATTACTAAAAAATATTATACCCACTTAGATCCCAAGAAAACTATTTGTAGAAATATTTCAAGGGACTTTATTAACATTGGGGAGAAGGGCCAATGACGTGTTTTAACTATTAAAAACATTTAATTGGCTATATATTGGCAGTTATTAACTTTGTTTGTTGCAGAGACTATTAACGATAAACAACTTCCCAGAACTGGCTGAAAATGCTTAGTTTCTTAAGATAGGGACTAGATTTTAACAGTTCACCTCTTTGCCAAGGTACACAGACTTTAATAGTTTTGTCATCACTAACGTATGCCTACAGAATTGAAGTTACAAAGTCAGGAATTCAGTTAGATCCGGCAGCAAAACCACAGGGGCGACACATTACCTTGACAAAGAGAAAATAAGAGGCTTACTAAACCAAGCACACCTTTAGTGACAGAAGGAACACTCTAAAAGTAGTTTAAAGGAAAATCCAAAATTACATTCGTTAGTCTAGCAAAAAGAGATGTCATCTATGCTATCATTAAACCACTATCATCGAAGAGAACGACATGTCCGACATGCCTTAAAATACATACTTGTACTTTTGAAAGAAGTTTGGAGCTTCAAAAAGTTTGGACCACTCTGCCTTACTCAGCAAAATTTCATCTGTGATAGCAAGACCTAAATTAAAAACATATTAAAATGTTTGTATGCTTCAGTCTAACAATCTAGAATTTTAAAGAATCTTAAACACACCACATGCATTCATGATAATCCTAAAATAATTTTAACAAACAGAAATTTTAGCTTATGACTTTAGAACATAGAGATTCTTATATACATACACACTTTTCAAAGCAGCTAAAGGATTTTTCGAGAGCCAGATTTCTGGTAGAGTGCCATTTTGCTAAAATGCCATGCTTAGAGAATGTCTTTCCAAAAACGGAGGCAGTAAGTTACCTGAGAACGAAAAGTTGCCCACATACTCCGTTCCCTGCCTTCCTCAAAACAGACTTCCTGCTGCTTCTAAAAGGGCAGACACCTTCCCGTGAAGAGCCTCTCCAGACAATACGAGTTTTAAACTCTGAATTTTAAGCTATTAGATGTACAACTGATTCTATTTCCTCGACTGTTTTCAGTCAAGCTAAATAATATTGTCCCAGCTTCTTCTGTCAGACTGGTAGTAGTTTATACCCTCAAACTAACAGTACAACTGCTGCTCAAAAAAATCAAGAGGTTCTTCCAAAATAACAAGCAGTCTGGCCCCAATCCTCCTCAAATTTCTTTCCCGGAAGTATACAGCCTGCTTCTCTCGTGCCCCTCAGTGGGAGAAAAAGTGGGAAATCATTTTACATGGCATAATGTGGCACTGAGCTAGCTAAAGACATATCTTTAAGCGCTGGTTAATCTTCCAACATACAATCAGAAATGAACTGCCTAAAAGGAATTAAACTTGAGTTTTTCAAGTCAGTTCTCAAACACATGCTGTAATCAATAAATGATTGCCCAAGTCCGCTTCCGAGAACGCGCTCTTCCATTTAAACTGCACAGCAGACTACTGGTCTAGATGGTATTTAAAATCCTTCGTGTATAAAGGACAGCAGAAGGGTAAACACTTACCTTGCTTAAACTCCTCAACCATGACCATCCGTGTTGAAACGGACACATTGTACGTGGAGTTCTGCTGGGGGTATGCTGGTGTAATTATAGGCATAAGATGGTACCTATCACTGGGGTTTACCTACATACAACAACAGCCAATCAGTTTCTTCAAGTACATATGCAACAGACACTTGGACTTTTTATTCCTTGTTAAACTGAATCAATGATTAATTTTTTTTTTTTTACTTCATTCACAGCTGGAGTTGAGAAAGAAAAACCATGTAAGGAGACATTGTTTTTATGGGAATTCTTTCTAGAATCAGAGATCTGGTCTAAATCACTGGCTTGTTTCCATCTTTTAGGCATCACTAATTTGGCGACCTTACTGAAACAGTGTGCCTGCTGAGCAAGACAGGGCCTCCAGGGGATCTAGTGATGTTTTCTTTATTCATCAACAGAACTGGGGATGCGCAAAGTTACACTTCTGAGAAACGTCACACTTCTGTGTAAAACTAACTTTAAACAAGGTGGAAGCAAGCTTTTATATACTCTCAACTTACAAGGCCTATAAACTTACTAACACATGAAGAAACTACATTATCCATGCTAATCTCATTTTAAGAGATAATGAGATGAGTTAATAAACTGTTCCTCTTAATCTCTAACATAATGATACTGGCGGAAATTATAAACTTGAAAATGCATTGTTGGATGTAATCAAAGAGACTTAAAACTAAGCTTTTCATATTGCAATAAAATATCTAATTTAGAAAAACTGAGTATCTATAAACCTAAATAAAATCTTACTCAAACTCAAATTTCTTTTGGCAATTAATAAAACGCATATTGTTAACATTTAAAATGAGTAAGCAGCAATGATCATAACTTGCCAAGAAACAAAATGGCAACTCTTCTTTTTAGCCCACGCTTGTCTCTATCATCTTTGAAATATCCAAACCAATGTTTACAATTACAGCATGGTAATTCAAGTGATACTGCTGATAAATTATCTGCCACATGTAAACACTAAGCAACAGCTTTTCTACAATGACCCAATTTTAACAAGATATTTAGATCAAATAAAAAATACAGGGATTTTTAGTATCCTTTTATTTTTTTTTTTTTTTAAAGCACAAATGCCCACAACTTTGACTTACAAGGTAGTTCTATATAGACTTAAAATGTTAGTGAAGGTGGTATTAAAAACTATGTACAATTATGTGGTTTACAGGGTACATACGTATGCTTCACACATCAGAGGACAATTATAGTTGACGTTATCTAGAAGCAAGTGTAATACGGACATGTCCACTCATACGTAAAAGATGGAAAGCCTCCCTGGAGTTTATGCAGATGATTTTCACTTGTTATTGCATAATGTGAATTTGTAGGGGAAAAAATAATACACTAACCCTTGGGTCCCATACAGGCAAATTAAGATTGCATTCTTCAGGCTGTTTCAATAGCACTGGATTTGGCCATTCCCTGTTTAAAAAGATTGTAGCACTTGATAAGACTGCTGGATACGACCATCTAAACGCACTCTGCAAGACACACAGCATTCGTGAACGCGCGCCTTCTTCACTCACTCTGCCCTTCTGGTTTATATAACCTGGTACTCCTTCCTGCTGACATTCGACTACTGAAAATAGTTTTCTTCTAACCATGACATTAACTTAAACCGTTTGATAGTTTTCCCAGGTTGCAGTCAAACACCTCTCACTCTCAAAAAAACAGATAAAGCACTATTTAGATAAAGCACTATCCTAAGGCATCTGATGTGTCCAGCTCAACCATGAAAAGGATAAATCCCCCGAGAGACAAAAATCTGCCTTTACACTAGCTCCTATCCACAGACAACTGAGAATTTTAAAAAAGTTAATTCTAAGCAAGGGAGTATAAATTACAAAAATTAGGAAGAACTTTCTCTACCCTCAAGTCATGGAATAGTGCAGTAAAACTTTTGAGTTGTGAACAAACTGTTTTCAAGATATTTTCTATAAATTACGTAGCTACTTTACCCCTTTATGGAACAGATAAGAACTAGAAAACATTCGCCATTCTTAATATCTAGGCTAGCTTTTTAAAAATAGTATTTGCTTATGTATGTGTAACATTAAGAAAAATTCTGACATTCTTTAGTTAACCTAATCACACCTGATCACACGTGATTATGGGTTATCAAATCCCAAAATAGCAGAATGTTATTGAAAAGTGTGGCACAGTTCTAAAATTATATATCACTTCTAATTTTTATAAAATTACTAGAAAAGAACAACCGTTTTTTTTGGAGGGAGGAGGGGCAGGAGTTGGCAGGAAAACAAAAGGAGGACTTAAAATCACTAAGATAAATCTGATCAAAAAATCAAGAACCTTCATTTTTCGGGCCAAAGCAACTAATATGGAATAACAATAATGTGCTAACTTACTTTTTTAAAAGAAATAACAGATGACAAACATGTACATCTCGAAATGAGGAAACTTTAAAAAAATCTCTCTTGGGTTAATGACTAATCTCAAAGGGACCATCAAATTTTTCTTTTTTCAGGCACTTGAAGTTAATTTATTCCTTTGTAATATAAACGTAATTTTTAATATTTTACCAAAGATAAACAGCTAAAAGCAAAAACAAAATCACAAAAAACTAATGGCCTACAGATTTAGAATTCAAAAAGTGAAAGAGATGGTGTACATATAGTTTCCCTATACCCCAACCTATCAATTCATCAGATTTTAACAAACATTACAGCTAAAATTCAGAGTTTATTTAATAGACGGTAGGTTTACACAAGGAAGTACTAATAGCACCTGTCTTACTATCCTAGGAAAGCTAGGGAAAAGGAATGGAGTTTAGGTTTGTCATTTTACACACAATGTGACCTCCCCAAGGCTACTTAAATGGCTACATCATGAACTAAAATTTGAATCTAAAAGCAGCTGCAGAAATGTCATAGAAATAAGACTAAACTTCAGTGTCTACAATCAATTTTATTTTAATATAATCTAAACACATACCATTTAGAAAATACCAAGAAAAATTTATGTACAAGAGTTGATGCTATTGCATTTGGATAAAGCTGGCAAGTTCTTGCTACTAGCATAGCCCAGGAAACACCACCGAGGAAACCTAATATATTGGAATAGATGTTGTGGCCTGTTGATAAGGGAAAAGCAAAAAGATAAGTTAGTGTTGAACAAAAGTTCAAACATTTTAATAAGCTAGCCAACAAATTCTGAACTCACGTTTGGCCCACAGTTTGATAGCTCTCAGAGTTAACCTGAAGTTGTCAATGTTTGGTACTAGATGTAAAATTTCATCGGTTACCCTGCAACCTGATTAACAGGAGCGAAAAAACAAAACATTAAATCATCAAAAGTTTACGGTAATACTTCTTTTAACTTTTCTGAGATTGATGTCAAATTAAATAAGAACTTTTATTTGGTACAGTCCGTAATGGTAAATTCAAAAAAGAGCAAATTAAAAATCTAATAAACCTCTTAACTTTTCTCACCAAGCACTACACTAAACCAAATAGAACTGAACTGTAATCTGTCTAATCTCAAACTTCCAACTCCTTTCAGCTTCTCCCCATCAAGGCATACTGACAAGGGCTTGACCCACTTAAGTTTCCAAGAATTGCTCTTCAAGAGCATATGCTAATATAAGATTGTTCAAAAGTAACCCTTTCACTAAAACAGCCGAAAACATTAGAAAAGGGTATCAGGATCAGAATTAACTAGGGTTACGCAGTGAAACCTAACTCACTAGTTTAATAGGGTACAAACCAGATAATCCTGTCAAGTGTCCTAAGTGCCATTCACAACAGAAGAAAAGAAATAGCAGTGTAAGACACCAGTGAGTAAAACAGACTACAGGACACCCACCCCTCTACAGTCTAACTGCTTAATAAAGCACATTTTATTTGACTCACTATGGGTGAATAATATGGCTACAAAAAGCTTCAGTACAAACCCTGAGTTAAAAACACTTATTTCATGTTTTACAAAAATTGCTACTATGCAAAAGGAAGTACGTTTTGACATACCGTTAAGACTTCTTATGCATCTTATATCTAAATTTTTAAGCAGACTGTCATCTCGTAAATCCAAATCTTCTGGAATAGTCTGCAGTGCTAATCTTGCAAACAAAATATCAATCTAAAACAAAAACAAAATTAAACATTCCGTATCTGCCAAACTATTTTTAGGGCATTTCTATAAAGTCAGGACCTTCTCATCAATTATAACAATGTCCACAAAAAGTCCATAAAATCACATTAACTCATATCATAGGTATTTTAATCAGATAGTGTTAAAAGATGGTAATACACAATGGAACTCATATAAATACCTATTTGTCATGTTACTCATACTTAGTAAGCCTGACTTACTGAGTCTCTCAAATGCATCTACTGGATCCCTTTCAATTCGGCATTCAGTTCTCCCTCTGTAAGACGGCGCCCAAGTAAAAGATAAACATCTTTGCATTTACCCAATACCACCTCTTAGTACAGGCGGAGCTCCTTATATTCGAGAGCATCTATATTCACAGTATTACAGTATGATTTCTCCAGACTTAACTTTTGATTTAAAAGGAAAAATTATGGCCTTAAACCAGAGTTGAAACTGATTTTGAATGCTGATAGAATTCAACTGATTAAAAGAAAAAAATTTTTTTTTGCTTTTTTAAAATAAGGAGGGGGCAACGAAACTAAGCAAGATTTGTTCACTATTCCTGGTGGCATGCTTTCCTGGTTTCAGAAAGTTGCATGTTGCTATAAACAAGCCTTTTATAAGATCACCTTAAAAAGCAATATTTTAAGAGCATGTTGTAAAAATTTACACATACACCTACAGGATGAAAGGGGCAGACAGAGGAATAAGCACTGTTGTATAAATGAGTACTTGTGGCACAGGGCAAAATTTCCAATGAACCAGACTTCAAAGTCCACTATCTCACCCAGTTTAGAAAGAAACAAAGATGTTATGCTCAGAACAGCTGGTAACTCAAAGAACCACTCAGGGATGACACATGTAAAAACACAAGAGGAGTTAGGATAAAATTACCTCATGAAATGTAAAACTGGAAAAAGACAACCTAAAATATCATTATTTTATATATGTGGACAGAAAACACATTAAATATTTTAAACAGCCATCTTTCATTCTTATCCTGAAAAATCTACAGTTGAGTTGTCCTCCCACCAAAAAAAAAAAAAAACTACCCTGTTGGTAATCTTCTTTTTGGGAAAATGGGGCATCACCTTATTTCACAGGTTATTATTTATAAACTGACAGTAAATCAATACTACATGAACCTGGTAATCCCTTCCCAAATTTCACATTTTATGTCTACTTACTGAGGTCATTCCTTCAACTTTTCATAAAAGACAGAGTTGAACATGTTACGCAGTTATAAGAACTGCCTTTTTTGCAAAAACAGTGAAGTATTATTCTCTCAATTTCCAAGTTTATATTTTCACTATTATTCTCAGTGACTTACCAGCACCATTCAAACCTTACTTCTGTAGAAGTAACATAATAAGTAATTAAAGTTGCTTCACTGTCAGCTTTGTTCCAATTACTTTCATTACACATGTTGAAAACAGCAAGAAGAAACATACGTCATTTCAAGAATTTGAACTTGGCTACCCCACAGCTCCTAAGTCCTCCCCATCAGAAAACATTTTCAACCTTCATAAAACCAGGCCACAATTTTCTCCCAACGTCTTCAAAATATTCAACTTCACTGAAGTTGAAGCCAAGTGCTATTTGCAAAAATACACTGTTACTTCCTTAATGAGACTAAGTACACAAAATCCGCAAACAGAACAACCATCACCACAGTCCTCAGGTCTCCTTAGTCCCGTCTAGGTCTGGCTGCCTCATTTCACTTGTCACTTAAAAACAGCAAGTGTTTACACTTAAAAAAAAAAAAGACTGAAATGGCATGTTCTACAAAACCAAGAATTAAATAAACTTAATTCTTATTAATATCAAAACCAATCCCGTAATTATACAACTTAAAAATACACCAAGTTTTTAACCTATATCAATCAAAATTGGTGACACCCACCACGTAATAGGAATGTCAACTTGGATCACATCTTACCTCTATCCCATCAAAACACAGTTTGATAACTGGCACAAATGCCTCTTCCACAGCCTGTAAGAAAAGTAAACAAAGTCAGTGTCTCTGAAACTACAATCAGACCTATACTAGTTTTAGTACTTTTACATAAATGTGATTCTTCTGAAACTGTTTAACCATAATTTGAAGTAACACCTGACACATGATAGGTTCTCAGTACAAAGCTTTAAGACGCTGGGCTCTCGGATTAGACAAACCTAAGTTCAAAGCCCTGATTTCACTCATCAGATGTGTGATCATGGCTAAATTAAAATTTATTTTCTGTTAGCCTCAGTTTCCTAATCTATAAATGAGAGATTATAGATTTATGCTTTCACACTTGTTATAAAGAATAAAATGCAAACATAACGCATTAAGTGCTTAGAAGGGTCTAACACACTGAAAGAGTTCAATAAATGGTGGCTATACTCAATGGACTAAAGTAATTTCTGTAACTCCACTCCCTTCACCCAAACATTTACTCACTCTTAAATCTTTTACTTCTTCCTGTAATTTTAATTTATCATAAAATGAGGTGAAAAAGTCACTTCGATCAACATGTCTCGGTGCAACACACAATGCATCAATATCAGCACCTATAAAAAATTAAGCCCATCAACCACTAATCAATATTACAAGAAAAATATTTTGCATCTTATCATGGTAGAATCTTATACTGAGAACCTGTTAACATTATACTGGTAAGCCTCTAAAAACACATAACCACCCCCCCCCCAAAAAAAAATTATCACTCAGTACAGGAAAAACATGGTTCTGAGTAATGGGATGCCGTTTTGTTTAGTCTTTTCCCTGAAGCACCCTCTATCTGTAGGGGCCCTGGTGATCTGGGAGTGAGTCAGAGAAAGGTCGATCAGAAAGACTGTCACGGTGAGGAGTGGGGACGATTCAAGCACACGCCCAACTTCATGATGTCACTGGTCACACCCATATTCATTAGCTTAAAAAAACATATTGTTTTCCTCTATACACTGTATGACTGCTACTTACAGGTTCCTACCTAACCCCAAACGGAACCTACAGAATAAACTTCAAAATAAGGACCAGTGACGAGAGTCCACAAAGGCAGAGCACGGTGAGATATGTATTACTGCTTCTGTGCTTCACAGGAGGCCAGCACTGAGTGCACAGGGACAGTACACAGAGGAGGATTAAAATTGAGAAGCGGGGTCATAAAAGGGAAGGGACAAAGGTGGGGCCAGATCAGCACAGTCATTTCCCAGATGTGGGAGCCGAGGCACTACTGGGAAGGCTGTCCACACCCATGGAGGAGGAGAGGGGTGTGCGGGCGTAGGACACATCAAAGCAAATGCAGATCTACTGGCACAGGGAAGGGGGAGGTGGGGGGATGCCAGAACACAGACAGCACTATACAGGCCAGTGGTTAATGGTTATAGACTACAGCCTCAGACCGCCTGGGTTACAACCCTGCTTCTGCCAACAGATGCCTGGGAGAAACTACTGAAGCCACACTGCTTCCTCGGGTCTCAGGCCACTCACTGGTTCTAGGGGAACAGGAGGGCTGTGAGGACTGAATAAGATAACAGAAATCAGCACTTAGCTCCAGGCCCAGTTCAGAGAAAGTTCAGTGTGTGTTCTTTGCCACGACAGCATTTTTATTGTGTACTTATTTGCATAGAGGGAAAAAAACTACAAGAATAAATAAGAAAATACTGACTATCAATGGCTTGTTTGTTTTTTTGCTTAGCCATATTTACAATTTGCCTATAATAAAAGTACAGGAAAAAGGAAAACCACGAGACTGTTTAAAAGTTTTAATTCATTTTTGTTCTGACTTCTAGGCTGGCATTCTTCACAGAAAGGAAAAGAGAGAGCAGTACCGCCAACAGAACTGTCTGCAAGGGCGGAGATGTTTATATCTGCACCGTCCAACATGGGAGCCGTTAATCATATGTGGCCCTTCGGCATATGAAACGTGTCTACTTCTACTGAGGAACCAAATTTTTAACTTTACTTAATTTTTATACTGCATTGGACAGTGTGAGTATAAAAGAAAGCATCACGTTATAGCTTTCTTCTTACCAAATTTAGACCCCTTGAGGTTCTCTCTTCCGAAACGCGAACCTCAGCTACGTGAGACAGCACAAGCAATTGAGATGGATGTGTTCTTTATAATTTTTAAGGAATAAAAAAGGACCCCTTCTCAAGGAAAATAAAACAGTATTTACCTTTTGTGTGTACTCCTAATCTGTAAGATCCAAATGTAAAAATTTTTCCTCCAACATTTTCAATTACAGATTGTGGAAGATTCTATTGAAACAAACAAACCAAAAAAAAAAGGTCATTTTGTCAGTGACAGACAAGGAAAATTATTTCAGATGGTATTCTACTACCAAAAAAGCCCAGGTAAGATTTCAGTGCAAATTTATATAAAGAGTATTCAAACTATAAGCTCTATAGAATAGGCCTTCATAGATCAACCTAATTGGAAATTCAAAAAACTTTCAACTTTTACTGTTTTTTAGTGACAATTTTTGCAGCATGCCACATTTCTGAAAACTGCTCTAAAGACTGAGGCAGAGGCCGTGTACTCCCCACAGGAGCGATACCAGACCAGGGACTATATTCCTGACAAAGACGCTACATAAATAAACCATGAATATGAAAATAAAAAACATACCGTGAGTACTTAAAAGATCATATTTGATTATACTGACTAGCACACTGAAAAGTGACTTTACAGCCAAGACCAGCAAGCAATAGTTGAGTTTTTTAGATTTCTGAAAGACTTTGGTAGGATGATTCTGGAAAGAACTAAGTTACTGATGGTTTCTCACTCAGGTGGAGAAAGCAGAATCACTGAGAAACCATCCTCCTGACTATGGCACAGGTGGAGTATGATGGCGGGCACTCAAGGGCCCTCACCGTTAAGGATGGTGATGTCTGTGCAAACAAAAACCAATGTTAATGAATTCTAGGTCAACATTTCTCCTTACCTGCTAATTCCTCAGGATAGTAAAGTCTCTATTCAATACCACAACATATAGGAGAGACCACCCTCCCAGAATAAATAAACAAATGACGTAAATGAAGCGTTATTTCATACCTGAAAGGCCCTAAAAACAAGTTCTAAAGATTCGGGGGCTCCCATTTTTAGGGGTGCATTTAACCATCACTTACAGAAATATTCTAAAAAACAGCAAGGCTTTTTGTCTTTCTCTATATTTAGATATAAAGAAACTCAATTACAATGGTGGCCTGGTTACTGAAACGAAGCAGTGGTCTGTGTGCAGGAACAGGCCTACAAACAAGGTTAGAATGCAATGAAGTGAGGACACCGATCTGCACCCAGCTCTGGAGACAGACAAACCGAACTGAGGACACCGATCTGCACCCAGCTCTGGAGACAGACAAACCGAACTGAGGACACCGATCTGCACCCAGCTCTGGAGACAGACCAACCTTCCAGACCAGCGTTCTCTAACACAGCTTCCTGTGAGGGGGGCAATGTTCTGTATCTGCACTGTCCCATACAGGAGCCACTAGCTACACGTGGCTGTGCAGCATTTGAAATGTAGCCGGTATGGCTGAAAAACTGAATGTTTAATGTTATTTAATTTTAGTTAATTTAAATTTAAACAGCCATATGTGGCTAGTGGCTACCATATTAGTGCAGTTTTAGACACTGATATGCTTATACCTATCGAAATCACTTTAACCCAGAAATGAAGATTTCTCAATTCAGGTCATAGGAAAAACATTTTTAATTCTAAAATCTTTCTTTTTTTTTTTTTTTTTTTTTTTAAGTCTTACAGTGTTAAGACGGCAAACAAAGCAGACTGTCCAAAAATTTTATGTGATTTTTCTCTCAGAATATTATAAATTAACTGGAACTATATGTTAAAAACAGTGGGACTCAATCAGCGACGATTCTGCCCGCTGGGGAACACGTGGCAATGTCTGAAGACACTGGAGTTGTCACAACTTGGGGGGGAGTCTCGTGGGCAGAGGCCAGGGACGCTGCTAAAACCAAAAAAAAAAAAAAAAAAAAAAAAAAACCCACTGCTATTGTGTAGTTTCCGACTCACAGTGACCCTACAGGACAGAGCAGAACTGCCACATAGGGTTTCCAAGGATGCAATCTTTACGGAAGCAGACTGCCATGTCTTTCTTCCGCGGAGCAGCTAGTGGGTTCAAACCACCGACCCTTCAGTTAGCAGCTAAGCACTTAACCACTGTGCCACCTGGATGCTGCTAAACATCCCAAAATGCACAAGACATCCACCTCACAACAGATAATCACCTTGCCCAAAATGTCAGTGGTGTCAATCAAGAAATCCTGAATTAAATCTTAAAATCAGCCAGCTGGGCAAGAATGTCTCTCTACAAAATGCAGATAAAAAATATCTAAACTTAAGACCTAATCTCTTTAGCCACATTTTCTAACCAACTTGCTACCTATAAAAACCACTGTATAAAGAAAAGGACAAGGACAAGCTGCAATAGGATTATCAAAATGCTCAATAAGAACATTACCTTCATTAATCCAAGCCATTTTCCTTACCCTTGGGAAAACCAGGAGGGAGGATTATAGCAAGTTTCTGCTTCAAGAAATTTACCGGGCACTCAACTAACTGAAACAAAACTGTCAATAAGACAGTACTCTTGCTTCACATTAAAGAAACACAAGTTCTGGCCTTGTCTACATGACTAGGGTTTTAAATTTAAAACATCTAAGAAAAAGTTGTTAAAGCAAAAGCTATGTGTCCTATACAAGGTTAAGGAACCACAGAGTTGAATAAGTAATTTTTTTTTTTAAAGGCACAGAAGCTTCAATGTCTTTTGCTCAGCTCAAAATGGATTCCTTTCCAAAAATCTCATTTTATATCAGAAACTCTTATCAGGGAGAAACAAGTAGTACATTAAACCAAAAAAACCAAACCCGCTGCTGTCGAGTAGATTCCGACTCATGGGGACCGTACAGGACAGAGTAGAACCGCCCCACAGAGTTTCCAAGGAGCGTCTGGTGGATTTGCAGCCATAGCACTTAACCACTGCGCCACCGTGTTTCCAAGTAGTACACAGAACCCCAATTCAGAAGACTCCCATTGCTCAAGTTTTAATTGTTGCTTAAAATACGTACACATTGTTTTAAGAAAAAAATATAAATTTGACCAAACCAAAAGACTTGAATTTACTTTTCTTCTAAGTTGATGCCCCTCCTCCCCACCCTAGAAGGCTTCACGCTACCCCTGGTTCTCCTTCCATCACTTTCCAGCATTCTGCACCACCCTGCATAAACGGCCGCTGTTCTGCTGAACGCAATCAACTTGACAGCAATGGGCTTGGTTTGGTTTAGGGGTTTCTAAAAACGGGTCAAATGAATTCCACACCAACTCAAAGAATCCATTCCCTTTACCAGAAACTCTGTCATGAATTTATCAGTCGTGTGTATGGGTACTCTAATAATACAGTATTAGGAACTCAGAAAAATGTCATTATAAAAAATAAACAGATATTCTGCTTGAGAGTTTAATACCTTAAAACCTTAAAAAAAATTTTTTTTCTTTTTTTTTTAATTGTTGTAGGGTTCCTTAGAGGTAACAAGATTCTCAAATACATCAAATATTTTTCAAGCACCTTTTCAGGTAAATATCTATTATTTCTGTGAAGTGCAGGAGTAATTTAAGCTCTGAAATGTTCCAATCAAAAGGTACATAAAAAATCATTAAACTCAATTCAGTTTTTCCTGCTTCCAAAATAACTAGAAACAAAATATAAAATCATTATCAAGGGACTAAAATGGACTCCACATTACATTATGCCTCTAAGTCCACTCAAAATAAGAACATGTTATGTAAAACAACTGCTGTGTTCAGTTGATTACATAGGGCAAACTATTTCATATGCAAAAAGTCACCTTACCTTGCTTTCACTGATTTCTCGTATCCACTCTTTTACCAGATTATTTAATTTTCCCAAAATTAAAATCCTGTAGATAAAATAAATATCAATCAAGAATTAAGTTGTTTTTATTCCAGATCATCACTGATCAAAACGAATTAGCGAACCCAGCAGAGAAACAGAGAGCGCCCCAGGAGGGAGGGCCGGTGCACTGGTAACAAGGGTGGAGGGCAGAGGCATGTCTGACTACCTCCCAGCAATCAGGGCTGTCGGATCTGAAAATGTTCTCCTCCACCTTGTGAAGTTAAAGGAGGTCCTGACACCATTTCCACTCCCCTTAAATATCATTCTTGTCTGAAATAGACATACAGATTTGGGAGAATAACTCTGCCCTCCTAGTTGAATAACTGAATAGGGAGTATCACAAAATAGGTTTATTTCAACATTACTAACAAAGTATAAATTGTTTTACACACATACATCTAATTTACCTGCGCTGCAGCTCTTCCTCCTCCTCGAAAACCCCAAAAGGCTTCAGAGTCTCGATGAGTCTCTGTGTAAGCACGCAGTCAGTCTCCTTGGGGGCTGCTAAGCTGATAGGGGAGGTGATACCATAGTGCTTTTGGGGCGGCCGTGTCTGCTGTGATCCCTGCGTTGTAACTGGACTGTAAACGGAATAAGGTCAAATTACTGCCAAAGCAGGCCTACTATTCTGAAACAAATCAGCATTACCAGAAAAACTGCGTTAGTAAAACGCATTTCTAAGCGTGGTTGGTTCCCCACCATACTCAAAATCATTTTACTTACGAAAACACTGACTTGCCGTACAACAAAAAGTAAAGAAAAGCAAGTGGCCAAAAAGAAAACATTATTTCTTCTCCCACTACAAGCATCGTAACTTTCTCCCTACCTAAATCCTTAAATATTTTACAAATCAGAATCCAGATCCAATATATACTGCTAGAGAAAACCTTCAGCAATCAGAAATGTAATCAGAATATAGCGAACTTCTGAGAAATTTTACTTGTTGAAGGGCCAAAATTCATACATTTCTAAACAATTTTAAAAAAACTACAAAAATGCTATTTTACCAATATAAATGGAATGTAGCATCTGAATTACAATGAATAAAGCCCATATTTAATACAGCAAACGATATCAACATAGACAGCCTGGGGGGAAAGAACTGTGTTCATAGTCAGGTTGTTACTGATTTTCGGTAGGAGACTTCAAGTTCAACAACAATGCTAGTCTAAGAGGTTTTTCCACTTTCAGAGAAGTTCCAGATCTATAAAACCAAGAGGATTCTAACAACCAGTGAAAAGGCACGGCATGCTTTTAATGCTCAGGAAACTAATTTGACTCAACACAATCTGGCAGAACCAATTCTTGTTTTTTATTCTCGCTGGTGAAATAATTAACCTTATAAAGAACTCTAAAGACAAAAAACTATTATTATTTAAAAGTTAACAAGTTGAATAGCATGCAAAACCAGGTAAGGGATATGGGAAGAACCTAACATCTGGATCGGTATTTCCCTAAACCGTTATATGAAACACTCCATTCTGTAAGAAACTCAAGTGTTTATTTCACACACACATTCAAAGCTACTTTTTTCCTCCAAATTCTACATATATCTTTCTTTATTGAATTAAGGGGTGATAATCTATTTAGCAGGCCAGGGTAGCTACCTGAAAGGCTGGCAGTTCAAACTCACCCAAGGGCACCTCGGAAGACAGGCCTGGCAATCTGCTTCTGAAAGGTCACAGCCTTGAAAACTCTATGGACCAGTTCTACTCTGCACACGTGGGGTCGCCATGAGTTGGAATCAGCTCGATGGCAACTAACACCAAGAATCTACTCAGGCAATAACGTGCCAAATCCAAGCACGCTATGCACGTTAAGTCCCATGATGCATTTAACACCTGTCCACTGGAGTCCACGCATACTGTGACTGCCGGTCTTGGTTCTGTCTTCTGATGTCAACAGAGACCTAAGCCAGTAAGACCAGACTGCTTGTTACTAGTTAGCCACTAGGCTGTACATCATCTAGGCAATGTTTTCTGGTCTAGTTGTGCATCATCTCAGATTTTATAACATTTACTGAATAAACAGGAATAAAATGTATTATCTATTGCAGCAATTAATTCACATAAGATCACTTTCTTCTACTCCTTTAAACTACACTGCATAGCTATAAAAGGCTATGATATCAATCACAAAATCTAGGAATCCAAATGAGCACCAAACATTGTCCAGACTAAAAATTTTACATTTATGTTCTATTTTTCAAATTAATGTAGCATCGATGATTAAAACATACAAATTAAGTGTAACTGAATTCATGTTTTGGTTACTGCATAATTTTTTCAATCTGCAAATAGTTACTATCAGGTTCGACAAAACTGACATCAAAAAGGGAGCCCTCCTCTGGGGACCATGGTCTCGGGGAACATCTAGCTCAACTGGCATGACACTACTTATAAAGATAATGCTCTACATTCTACCTTGGTGAGTAGGGTCTGGGGTCTTAAAAGCCTGTGAGCGGCCATCTAAGATACTCCACTGGTCTCATCTCTTCGGGAGCAAGGGAGAATGAAGAGAACAGGATACAA